CCTCGATTCAGCACCCACCGCCTCCTCTGGCGGGGAGCAGGCGATCGGTGGTGGAGGGTCCTGGGGACGCCTCGAATTTCGGCTTATTTCCCACGACGCGTGCCTGTAGGTCACGTGTGGCATCGTGGTCAGCAGCATGGAGGCTGGACCCAGGTTTTCTTGGGCATATCCCTGCAGCTTTTGCCTGCTCTGTTTTCCTGTGCTGGCCGGGTCTGTCGTCATGCTGGTCCCCTGGCCCCGCCCCGGTCCCGCGGGCGCAGGGCTGATGTGTCATTCTCCCCAGCCCCGCAGTCCCCAGCTCCGTTTTTCCCTCTCATTTCCTCATCGACGTCTCCAGGACTCAGAGGCCAGCAGAGCCTGCGGGCGCAGGTCTGCCCTCCAGAACTTGGGGTCTTGCCCTTTGCTGGGAGTACCGTTTCCTTCCTTTTCTCTTTTCTTTTCTGTTTGATAGAGTCTCGCTCTGTTGCCCAAGCTGGAGTGTAGGGGCGAGATCTCGGCTCGCTGCAACCTTTGCCTCCTGGGTTCAGGTGATTCTTCTGCCTCAGTCTCCCGAGTAGCTAGGACCACAGGCGCGCGCCACCATGCCCGCCTAATTTTTGTATTTTTAGGAGAGACGGGGTTTCACTTGGCCAGGCTGGTCTCGAACTCCTGACCTTATGATCTGCCCTCCTCGGCCTCCCAAAGTGCTGAGATTACAGGCGTGAGCCACTGTGCCCGGCCAATTAGCTGTCAATTAATTGTAAACAACTTCATGTAGTTTGCCCAGCACTTCAATGGTTATGGAATATAACTTTTAAAATGTCAAAGTATGCTATACATACTTTTCTGCTAGGTTGGGCTAGTATCCTCAAGATACTCAAACTATTGAATAAAATACACTTTTAAATCAATATAAGTACTTAATTAAATTCGCTGAATTCAACAGCGTTACCAACATCTTTCAGGATTTTTTTTTTTTTTTTTTTTTGAGACGGACTCTCGCTCTGTCACCCAGGCTGGAGTGCAGTGGCGCGATCTCAGCTCATTGCAACCTCCACCTCCTGGGTGCAAACAATTTTCTGTCTCAGCCTCCCGAGTAGCTGGGATTACAGGCCCCTGCCACCACCCCCGGCTAATTTTTGAATTTTTATTAGAGACAGGGTTTCACCATCTTGGCTAGGCTGGTTTTGAACTTCTTTTTTTTTTTTTTTTTTTTTTTTTGAGACGGAGTTTCGCTCTTGTTACCCAGGCTGGAGTGCAATGGCGCGATCTCGGCTCACCACAACCTCCGCCTCCTGGGTTCAGGCAATTCTCCTGCCTCAGCCTCCTGAGTAGCTGGGATTACAGGCACGCGCCACCATGCCCAGCTAATCTTGTATTTTTGGTAGAGACGGGGTTTCTCCATGTTGATCAGGATAGTCTCGATCTCTTGACCTCGTGATCCACCCGCCTCGGCCTCCCAAAGTGCTGGGATTACTGGCGTGAGCCACCGCGCCCGGCCCCTTAAATACAGTTTTAAAGTTAAATTTACGGAGGGAAAAAACCCTCATATATTAACACAAATTGTATGTCCTTTTTTGGTTCCTCAATGAAGGAGCACTGATTTCTTCATCATTTCTTCTTCCCTTCACCCGTCCTGAATGACCGAGGCTGGGAATCCCGGAAGTCCCGAGTGGCCCCGAATCTGGGTCTTCCACGGTCCTGGGGGAGGGTTGACGGGGACACGAGACACAGACGTTGCGCGCGGATGGCCGGGGTGTGAAGGCAGCGGGCGCAGCTCCGCGGGGCCTGAAGAGCCGTCTGCGCTCAGGAACAAGACAGAAGGGGAAGATGAGGCCGGGGATGAGGCGCAGGCACGGGCGCGGCCTAGGGTGTGGCCTGGCCCGACCGCCCGCCTGCTCTGCCCAGGGCCCCCTCCCAGGCCTCAGCTCCGGGCCACGTGGAGTGGGGCGGTGCTCGCGGGCCGAGACGCCGTCCTGCGCTGCGAGGGGACCATCCCCGACGTCACCTTCGAGCTGCTGCGCGAGGGCGAGACGAAGGCCGTGGAGACGGTCTACACCCGCGAGGCCTCGGCAAACCTCGCGCTCATCTTCGTGGGGCCCCAGCACGCTGGCAACTACAGGTGCCGCTACCGCTCCTGGTGGCCCAACACCTTCGAATCGGAGCTCAGCGACCCCGTGGAGCTCCTGGTGACAGGTGACGTTTCCCGAGGTCCCGTGTGCCGGTTCCATCCGCGGCGTTGGCCTCGGCTGTGCCCTCCTCTAGGAGGGCCTTTCCCTGTTCCTCCCTTTGGTTGGCGCTTGGTCTCCCCGGGGGCTCGTGGGGGATTGCGGTTGGGGAAGTGTTCAGCAAACGCCCTGCAGCTGGAGCCCTGGAGGGAGGTGCAGACGGAGGTCTCGGATGGCAGCCGCCCACGCGCTTCCTTCCTGGGGGGCGTCAGGGAGGAGGGCATAGGATTTCCCCTCGTCCACCACTTCTCTTTTCTCCCGTTTGTCTAGAAAGTTGATGCAGCCGCGGGCTGAGAGTACTGTTGCTGTCCTCGGAACTGCCAGGGATTCTGGACGGGCTCCCACCCTTCCTGTGGCAGCAGAAGGCTGGGCTCCCTGGGGGGCTGGAGGGTGCCCCCTCGTTCCTCCCAGGAATTAATAAATGTGAAGAGAGACTTTGTTTAAAATGTCTTTGGACTCCCAGGGTTGAGTGGGCTGGGATCCTGTGTCCTCCTGAAAATGATGGGTCCTGGGGTGGCTCCTGAGGTAGAAGAGAGAATTGGCTCTTAAGCCCACATTTTTCTTTTTTGAGACAAGGTCTCGCTCTGTCACCCAGGCTGGAGTGCAGTGGTGCAGTCGGGCTCACTGTAGCCTCAACCTCCCAGGCTCAAGTGATCCTCCTGCCTCAGCCTCCCAAGTATCTGGGACCAGGGGCATGCATCACCACGCTTGGCTAATTATTTTTTTTGTAGATACAGGGTCTCACTGTGTGCCCAAGCTTGTCTTGAACTCCTGGCCTTAAGTGATTCTCCCACCTCAGCCTTCCAAGTAGCTGGGACTACAGGCATGAGCCACCATGCCTGGCCAACCCACATTTTTCTGCTACTTATTTTTTGTAGAGATAGGTCTATGTTACCCAGGCTGGTCTTAAACTCTTGGGCTCAAGTGATCCTCCCGCCTCAGCCTCCCGAAGTGTTAGGATTACAGGTGTGAGCCGCAGCACCCGGCTAACCAACACTTCTCAAGGCCTCTTTCATCTGTGCTCTTCCACCATGCTGCCTTTTACTCCCTGGGCACCTCTGCCTGGTCCCAACAGGTATCGGCAGGTTGCTCGAGCCTCCCAAGTAGCTGGGATTGCAGGCCTGTGCCACCACACCTGGCTAACTTTTGTATAAAATGTTCTTTGCCTTCTGGCCTCGATAATCTCTGAGAAGCCGCTGTGAGCTTTCGAATTATCTCCCTGATGTAAGGCATAACTTTTCTCAGACTGTTCAAAAAATTTTAGAATTTTAGTTTTCAGCAGAACATGATGTGTCTGGGCATGGATTTGATTATGCTCTTTTGGAGTTGTTTTTGAACTTGTAAATTTATTATTTCTTTAAAATAAGAGTTTCGCTCTTGTTGCCCAGGCTGGAGTGCAATGCCGCGATCTCGGCTCACCGCAACCTCCGCCTCCTGGGTTCAGGCAATTCTCCTGCCTCAGCCTCCCTAGTAGCTGGGATTACAGGCATGCGCCACCATGCCCAGCTAATTTTTTGTATTTTTAGTAGAGACGGGGTTTCACCATGTTGACCAGGCTGGTCTCGAATTCCTGACTTTGTGACCCAGCAAAGGTGCTGGGATTACAGGCATGAGCCTCTGCGCCATATCGTTTCTAAAGAACATATGGCTGGACCAAAAATGAATTCAATCTGTTGGAATTGGTCTTTACACTTGGCTTGTTGCATACAGTCATGTTTACTGAAACTGCTGACATATTTGGACGTGCTGTCACATCCCGGTGCCTGCAGTTCCTGGCAGTGTGACTCTGGCCAGTTGGTTATATTTGCCACGTCACTTCCTCCTCTATAAAATGGGGATGGTTGTGTGAGGATTAAGTGAGATGTGTATAAACTATTTCGTAGACTGACAAGCAAACAGGTTCTCAGTAGATTCCTTTTCCTCCCTGATCTCCTCCCCTTTTAAACGGACACGGACAGACACGTCTCACAACCAAATGAATGAAGATGCTGAGCATCAAGGGGATGGAGAGTCAATTCTTGTGACGGAGACTGAGCAAGGGGCAGGCAGAGAGGTGCCGATGATTGCTGCAAGTCAGAGCCAGTGTCCAGGGCCAGGCTCTGGGTCTGGCACTGCACAAGGTGGGTCTTGTCCCTGGTTTACAGATGAGAAGGTCATGGAGGTTCAGGAAAGTCACTTAATCTTGGGTCCCTAAAGGCCACAGGAAGGAGTGAGGCTTTGCAGCCTGATTTCAGGCCCATGCCTACTCTGTTCACTGAAGCCTGCTGGAAGCCTGTGCAGTCATTTCACTGGGAACGTGCATCTCTCCTCTCGAGTTTTCCCCTAAGCCTGTCACCCTGCTCTGTCTCTCAGTCTCTGCCACACGATATGTGGCAGTCTCTGCCTGTGTCTGGGACTCCCTCAGAGATACTTCCACAAGGTCTCTGTCTCCCTGAGTCTCACCTTCATGTTATGAACCTTTCCCACCAGTCTTTGTGACTCTACTTACTCTTGACATAGAGGGAATGAGCCTCAAACACAGGGAGATACACAGGGAGAGATGGCGGCGGTGACTAGTACACAATACGGCAGGTCAAATGGTTCACATGAGACCATCACAGAAACAGAGGCATGAAGAATGACACCCTTCTAACAGGAATGAATAGAAGCTGCTATACCAGTTATAGACATGGACCCTAAAAATGGGACAAGTATGCAGAACTGAGGAGGCCAGACAGCACATGGACAGAGTGCTGGCAAATACTAAGTCCATGACACCAGGGGGATCTGGGGCCCTAGAAAGAGAAGACTCAGTACAGTAACATTTTATTGAGACCACAGCATGCCAGGCTTATCTGGGTGCTGGCCCCCCAGGAAAGTCAGATTGTTCTTACTCTGCAGGGTTCAAGCTGGTGAGGAGACATCCATGAAAACATATGTAAGGACAATATGGGGCAGAGCATGGTGAGTACCTCCTGGAAGGCACCAGTCACGTTCATGCAAGAGACATCAGTCAAGGCCTACCGAGTCTTGTGTGCGTTGTAGATTCTGAGTAAGACATGACCCCTGCTCTCAGGAGCTCATAGTATCCTTGGAAAAAAAACATACTATAAGCTCTACCCGGAGCAAATAAGTAAAACAACGTGGTAGGAGGTGTAAGAGAGGTAACTAGGAGGTGCCCGGGAAGCAGACAGGGCAAGCTGCAGTCTGCTCCAGGAGATCAGGAGGCTTCTTTGGGAGACACTGGAAACATCTTAGGTAAAAAAGGAGAGGAGGGTCCCAGGCACAAGTACAAAGGCACATAGGTGGGGAAAATGTATGGTTCCTTTGGGAACCAGAGTAGTTCCACGGGCTGGTGTATGGAAGGTGCAGCCATGGTATGAGATGAGGCCATTTTACGTTGCTGTGCACACAGAAAAATGACGATATTCATAAACGAATATGAGGACAATTGGAAAGGTTGCTCAGGGCCCAGAATGGCCTATCTCAGCAGACTTACACCCTGTTCAGGAAGCTCTCCTGTAGAAGGTGATGGATTAGAGAACTTTCCACCATGGAGCGACACAATCAGATTTGGGTAATAGGGCTCTCCTGGAGAGTGACAGAGGGGCAGAGAATAAAGGCAAGAAGGGGTCAGGAAGGAGACTCCTGCTATAATCCAGGCAAGAGGCAATGAGGGCTCACATAAGGTGACAGTAGTGGAAATGGAGACGAATTAGAGAAGAGCTTTAGGTTAAACCGACAGGGCTGGTGACTGGTGGGATATGGAAGGAAAGGAGAGAGAGAAACAGGTTGGGCAGGTGTCAAGCAGCACTACTGATGAAGACAGGAAACCATGAGAGGCAGAGGCTGTGGAGAGGGCATCAACGAAGAGGTGGCCTCACAAGTCAGCCTTGCAGTCAGGCACAAAATAGGCTGGAGTGGAAACAGTAGGTGCCAAGGCACAGAGGTGGGCATGGCAGGTGTCCCTTCTGGGCTAAGCAGCAGAAAAGCAGGAAGAAGAGTCACATGAGCACGAGCTACAGTCGGCCTGGCCAGAGCATCCTGGAATGGAGTTCCACCTGCCCTGGCCCTCAGAACCAATCTCAATGGAAGAAGAGTCACATGAGCACGAGCTACAGTCGGCCTGGCCAGAGCATCCTGGAATGGAGTTCCACCTGCCCTGGCCCTCAGAACCAATCTCAATCCTTGGCTCAGCTGCCTTCTCTCTGGGACAGCCTTGAGTGGGAAACAGTGGGTAGCAGGGCAGGGCCCTTCTGGAAGCTTCTCCAACTGGCCTGAATCGCTTTGTGCTCATCAGGGGTCCTAAATGCAGAGTTGTTCCTAGACGCCAGAGTCTGCCCTCAGGCACCTCTCATTTCTGCAACTCATCAATCACCCACCCTGTCTGTTGCTCTTTAGGAACTCAGCATTTCTCTTAGACGTTGAGCCTCAAGAAAAGGCTGTGCTATGGCCCCAGGGGCCACTTCCAGTCACTGCAGTACCGTGATGTGGATCCGCAGGTGAACCATAAGGGCTGAGCTGCGGCTAAAGGCTTTTCCACAGTCGCTGCACTTGTAAGGCTTCTCCCCTGTGTGGATCCTCTGGTGCTCAATGAGGGAGGAGCTCTGTGCAAAGGCCTTTGGACAAACCTTACACTGATACGGCTTCTCTCCAGAATGGATTCTCAGATGTCGGATCAGGGCTGAGCAGTCGCTGAAGGCTCTCCCACACGCGTCACACTTGTAGGGCTTCTCCCCGGTGTGGATGCGCTGGTGCTGAGTCAGGTGCGTGCTCTGGCTGAAGGCCTTCCCGCACTCGTCACACTCGTAGGGCCGCTCCCCGGTGTGCACCCGCTGGTGCTGGGTCAGGTGAGTGCTGCGGCTGAAGGTTTTACCACATTCCCCACACTTGTAGGGTTTCTCTCCAGTATGAATCCTTTGGTGCTGAGTCAGGTGGGTGACTCTGCTGAAGGCCTTCCCACATTCCTTACACTCATGGGGCTTCGCCCCTGTGTGGACAACCTGGTGCTGGGCGAGGTGTGTGCTCCGGCTGAAGGCTTTCCCACACTCGATGCAGGCATATGGTGTCTTCCGAGAATGGGTCTTCTGGTGCGCCTCGAGTGCCGAAGCACTCTGGAACATTTTCCTACACTCGTGACACTTGGAGGACTTCTTCCCTGAGTATGTATGTGCAGGCTCTGTCCCAGAAGCATCCACCAGATCACATTTCTCTTCTGAAGGAGCCTTCTCTTGGGAGGTAAAGTTTGGCCACACACTAGAACTGTTCCTCAAGGCACCAGGTTCACGGCCAGGCTGTTCTGTGGGGGCATCCTTGTAAGGCCCTGAAGTTTTCTGGAAATTGATGTGCTGGGTGAAAGACTTTGTCCAGATCTCTGCTGACAGTCCAGACGTTCTCTCTGAGCTGCCCTCGGGTTCACAGGCCTTGACAAAGGTGGGTCTGAGGGAAACACCTCCCATGAGGGTCTCAGTGACCACATTTGATGGCTCCGACTCTCCCAGGTCACTCTGCTTGCAGCTTGCCTCTGTGAGCTCGGCTTCAGGATCCCATCCTGAAACAATCCCAACCACAGCATTACTACTCCTGCCACACCAAGCCTCCCCAACTCTGCTGAGGGCACATCACACTGTAAGGCGCCTCCCCAACTCTGCTGAGGGCACATCACACTGTAAGGCGCCTCCCCAACTCTGCTGAGGGCACATCACACTGTAAGGCGCCTCCCCAACTCTGCTGAGGGCACATCACACTGTAAGGCGCCTCCCCAACTCTGCTGAGGGCACATCACACTGTAAGGCGCCTCCCCAACTCTGCTGAGGGCACATCACTCTGTAAGGCGCCTCCCCAACTCTGCTGAGGGCACATCACACTGTAAGGCGCCTCCCCAACTCTGCTGAGGGCACATCACACTGTAAGGCGCCTCCCCAACTCTGCTGAGGGCACATCACACTGTAAGGCGCCTCCCCAAGTCTGCTGAGGGCACATCACACTGTAAGGCGCCTCCCCAACTCTGCTGAGGGCACATCACACTGTAAGGCGCCTCCCCAACTCTGCTGAGGGCACATCACACTGTAAGGCGAGATGTGGCCTGTTCCTAACATTTGGCCCCATTTCCAAGGGGGAAGTTTCTTATTTGGTGTCCTGATGACAAAAGGGTGCAGGGCTGTCCTCCCACACCATCCAAAACTGCATCATGTGTTCTGATTTTTCCTCCTCCCACCAAACTCTCTACCTTTCAAGGCTCCCAATTTTGGCTCAAGAATCAGAAGAGAAACCCTAATGTGGAACTAATCTAAAAGACAGCAAGGCTGGGCACGGTGGCTCACACCTGTAATCCCAGAACTTTGGGAGGCCGACGCAGGAGGATCACAAGGTCAGGAGTTCAAGACCAGCCTGGCTAACATGGTGAAACCCATCTCTACTAAAAATACAAAAATTAGCTGGGCATGATGGCACATGCCTGTAATCCCAGCTGCTCAGGAGGCTGGGACAGGAGAATCACTTGAACTCGGGAGGTGGAAGCTGCAGTGAGCCGAGATCATACCACCGCACTCCAGCCTGGACAACAGAGTGAGAGTCTGTCTCAAGAAAGAGAGCGAGAGAAAAACAGAGAGAAAGAAGGGAAGGAAGAAAAGAAACAAAGACAGCAAGAGAGAGGGAGGGTCTGTCCTTGTCAGGAGCCTGAGTGCTTGTACCCCTGCAGGCTCTGATCTCTGTGAGGCTGCAGTTCTGTCCCTCACATTCAACACCTTGCCTCTAGGCCTGGATGTGTCCACAGGTGGTAAGTGAATTCTGGCTGAATGAGGAATCAATCCAGATGCCCTTGATGGTGAAAATTTTTGCAAGCAGAACACCAGGTAGACAATGGCTGCTGGGGATGAGAAGGTGATGTACCTACCTGGCCTCTCAAGCCCCTACACTATAAAGTACCGTGAAGGCAGTGTGTGGTGGAGGTGCTCTTGGAGATCATAGTGTGCGTGAGGAGAGGAATGCTTGCGTTGACCTGTCCTGGATGGCTACAAAGGACACATAATCTGGCACATTTAATGGATGGATTCCAGGGAGGAGGCAAAGACAGGTGGAAAACCTGCTGCTCAGGTCCACAGTGGGGCTTAGCAGTGCAGAAACTGTCTCAAACCCAAGCTCTACCATCTTAAGCAGTCCTGCCCTCATCTGGGTCTCAGTTTCCCCATCTGTAAGCCATGGAGGCTGTGCCGCTGGCCTCCCAGGGCCGCTAACCATCATCAGGCTCTCGTCATGTGCTAGGCTCCAAGTACAGTGGATGACTTCCATTGCCTCACCAGCTTCATCCTGCTCTCAGAAGGAGGTACTGCCATAATTCTGTTGCAGATGGGGAAAGTGAAATCCAGCTGACGGAAGGTGTTGACTGACTGGTACAGGATCACACTTAGCTAGCGGCCAAGTTGGGATTTCAGCTCCGGAATCTCCTCCAGGTCCAGAGGCAGTCTCCCTGCTCCCCTGGCCACCTGCTTGGCCCTGCCTCCCCCTTTCTTCCTCCACTCCAGAAACATCACACCACCTGCTTTTCCCAGAATGCACCAGTGCAGGTCACACTGCTGGGCCTTTGACCCCACCATTCCCTCTGCATTTCTGCCTTTTGTCTGAGCTTTTGACAACCCTGTGGGAGGACGGGGCCACTCCCTCTTTCCTCTCCCTGTCTCTGTGACACCTGCTTGGGCACAGACCAACCTCTTCCAGAGAGGCTGTTTCTCCAAGAGCTGAAAAGATCATCCTAACAGTTGCAGTTACCATGTATTTAATGTGTGTCAGGCGCTATTTCAGGTGCTGCACAGGTATTGCCTTGTTTACATCTCTCCTAAACACTAAGGTGGGCATTTTAATTACAATCCCCATTTTACCCAAGAGTAAACTGGGGCACAAGGGAGTCACATGGCCAGGAGAAGCAGTGGTTGGATCTACCGAGCCTTGATGATCCAGCTGTATCCAACCTCCACATTCCCCGGCTCACTGCACATTTTCTGTAGTTTGCCCACCTCCTACCTGTTGCCAATAGGCCAGGCCAAGCCCATCTGAGATGAGCCGTCATTCCCTGTTCTGGACTGTCCCAGAGCTGGGTCTTTCCTGCATCTCACTGGACCTCCCTAGGGTGGGATGTTTGTGTGGGTCTCTCTGAGTAACAGTGCCCACCTGAGCCTGGGGCAGGTCTGACTCGCCCAAATCCTGGAGGCCAGCCCAGAGTGGGCACAGAGAAGTACACAGGGACATCTGGTATTTCTGTCTCCCCTAATCACCACCCCAGGCACCCAGCCCCTCGTCTGGTTTCCTCTGAGAAATAGCCAGTGGCTCACTGTCAGTCCCTGGAATTTCATTGGCCAAACACAAACCTAAGATCCCAACCAGCTCAGTGGGGACTCACACCAGGAACCTCTTATGGTTATTCCCCTGGGGTTTCTACACTGCAAAGATATAAGCCTGGGGCTCCTGGCTATCTTTATCCCCTTTGGAAAGAGAACCTAAAATAAGGATGAAGCTGGGCTAGGTGCAGTGGCTCATGCCTGTAATCCCAGCACTTTGGGAGGTCGGCAGGTAGATCACGAAGTCAGGAGTTCTAGAGCAGCCTCACCAACATGGTGAAACCCAGTCTCTACTAAAAATACAAAAATTAACTGGGTGTGGTGGCGCATGCCTGTAATCTCAAGCTATTCAGGAGGCTGAGGCAGAAGAATCGCTTAAACCTGGGAGGTGGAGACTGCAATAAGCTGAGATCGTTTCACTGCACTCCAGCCTGGGCAACAGAGCAAGACTCTGTCTCAAAAAAAAAAAAAAAAAAAAAAAAAGTATGAAGCTAATACAGAAAAACCCATCTCTCTAATACAGAACAAGAGAGAAAGAAGAGAGTTCTGATGCCGTCAACAGATCTTCTGGATATAGCCACATATGATGCCTCCTTACCCTTCTTTGCTTCAGCTAATTTGAGCTGTTTTTGGTCACCTGAAACAAAAGCACACCTGTCTACTACAGTGTGTGAGAGTTCGTGTAAAGTACAAATGTGAGAATGAGGACATGAGGAAAACCAGAGCCCTGTGCTCCCGTGTTCCAGTCCAGGGTGTACCTCCGGTATGCTGTGAATCTGCCCATAGCCCCCCTTTACCTCTCTTGTCCAGCACCTGAGTCATATCCTTCACTAGCACAGCAGCAGCTTCTCCGTTCTTGGGGCTCTGGGCTCCTACCCAGGCTTGGATCTCGGGGGGCAGCACACCCAGGAACTGCTCCAGCACCAGCAGCTCCAGTATCTGCTCCTTGGAGCGCACCTCGGGCCGCAGCCACTGACAGCACAGCTGTCGGAGCTGGGCCAGGGCCTCATATGGACCGGATGCCTCCTCATAGCGGAAGTGCCGGAAGCGCAGGCGTGCAGCCTCAGGGTGAGCGATGTGGTCATGGCTGGATTCTTGGTCCTGGGAGAGGTTGGCTTCCTCTTCCTCCTCTACCTTCACTTGAAGGAAGCTGTCCTCTTCCCATGGTGCTGGGCTCAGGGAGTGCTTGGGGATGGCCATCGGGCAGCAGTGCTCAGTGATATACAGGATGCTGGAGCCTCGGACCTGAGCCTGCAGGAATGTCAGAGCTTCATTATCACATGGAACCTGGGGCCCTGCCTCATGCCTGCAGAGCAGGGGAAACACAGGCTTCGGGCCTGTGAGATGTGAAACACTCTCACAGAGACATAGACGATCATAATAATTAGGACAGCACCCACGTGGTGCTGAGCAGTGTTCTCGGTTACTACTGCTTGCATGTGGACTCATTTAAAACTTACAACAGCCGGGCGCGGTGGCTCACGCCTATAATCCCAGCACTTTGGGAGGCCGAGGCGGGTGGATCATGAGGTCAAGAGATCGAGACCATCCTGGTCAACGTGGTGAAACCCTGTCCCTACTAAAAATACAAAAATTAGCTGGGCACGGTGGCGCGTGCCTGTAATCCCAGCTACTCAGGAGGCTGAGGCAGGAGAATTGCCTGAACCCAGGAGGCGGAGGTTGCAGTGAGCTGAGATTGAGCCATTGCACTCCAGCCTGGGTAACAACAGCGAAACTCTGTCTCAAAAAAAAAAAAGAAAAGAAAACATGATGCTAAGTAAAAGAAGCCAGACACGGCTAGGTGCAGTGGCTCATGCCTGAAATCTCAGCACTTTGGGAGGCCTAGGCAGGTGAATCACCTGAGGTCAGGAGTTTGAGACCAGCCTGACCAACATGGTGAAACTCTGTCTCTACTAAAAATACAAAAATTAGCCAGGTGTGGTGGCAGGCACCTGTAATCCCAGCTACCCAGGAGGCTGAGGCAGGAGAATTGCTGGAACTCAGGGGGCAGAGGCTGCAGTGAGCTGAGATCACGCCACTGCACTCCAGCCTGGGCGACCGAGCAAGACACCCTGTCAAAAAAAAAAAGTATCCTAGGGCCGGGCGCAGTGGCTCACGCCTGTAATCCCAGCATTTTGGGAGGCCAAGGCGGGTGGATCATGAGGTCAAGAGATTGAGACCATTCTGGTCAACAAGGTGAAACCCCATCTCTACTAAAAATACAAAAATTAGCTGGGCATGGTGGCACGTGCCTGTAATCCCAGCTACTCAGGAGGCTGAGGCAGGAGACTTGCCTGAACCCAGGGGGCGGAGGTTGCGGTGAGCCGAGATTGTGCCATTGCACTCCAGCCTGGGTAACAAGAGCAAAACTCCGTTCCAAAAAAAAAAAGTATCATGAGAGTGACAGTTCAATTAAAAAAAAAAAGCCAAACACAAAAGACTACATCTTGTCGTATTTCACTGATGTGTCCAGAATATGCAAATCCATAAAAGCAGAAAGCATAACAGGGTTTGCCAGAGGCTGATGGGGGATGAAAATAGGGAGTGGTTCCTAATGGGCACAGATATTTCAGGATAAAAATGCTCTGGAATTAGATAGGGGTGATGATTGTACAACCTTCTGACTGTACTAAAAACCACCAAATTGAACACTTTATTATTTTTTTTGAGACAGAGTCTTACTTTGTCACCCAGGCTACAGTTCAAAGGCACCATCTCAGTTCACCGCAACATCCACCACCCAGGTTCAAGTGATTCTTCTGCCTCAGCCTCCTGAGTAGTTGGAATTACAGGTACCTGCCACTATGCCCAGCTAATTTTTGTATTTTAATTTAATAAATAAATTAACTTGTTGAGATGGAGTTTTGCTCTTATTGGCCAGGCTGGAGTGCAACGGCGCCATCTCAGTTCACTGCAACCTCCACCTCCTGGGTTCAAGTGATTCTCCTGCCTCAGTCTCCTAAGCAGCTGGGATTATTGGCACCTGCTACCACGCCCGGCTTCATTTTTATATTTAATAGAGACAGGGTTTCGCCATGTTAGCCAGGCTGGTCTTAAACTCCTGACCTCAGGTGATTCGCCTGCCTCGGTATCCCAAAATGCTGGGATTACAGGTGTGAGGCATGGCATCTGGCCTAATTTTTGTATTTTTATTAGAGATGGAGTTTCACCATGTTGGCCAGGCTGGTCTCAAACTCCCAGCCTTAAGTGATCTGCCTGCCTTGGCCTTCCAAAGTGCTGGGACCACAGATAAGAAACACCATGCCCAGCCTGAACACTTTGAAACAGTGGGTTTTATGATATATGAATCATACCTCGATAAAACTTTTAAAAAATAATGTCAGCTGGGTGCGGGGGCTCATGCCTGTAATCCCAAGCACTTTGGAAGGCCAAGGCAGGCGGATCACAAGGTTAAGAGATTTAGACCATCCTGGCCAACATGATGAAACCCTATCTCTACTAAAAATACAAAAAAATTAGTTGGGTGTGGTGGCACCTGCCTGTAGTCCCAGCTACTTGGGAGGCTGAGGCAGGAGAATAGCTTGAACCCAGGAGGTGGAAGTTGCAGTGAGCTGCGACTGTGCCACTTCACTCCAGCTTGGAGACAGAGTGAGACTCCATCTCAAAAATAATAATAATGTGGGCTGGCCATGATGGCTCACATCTATAATTTCAGCACTGTGGGAAACTGAGGCAGGCAGCTCACAAGGTGAGGAGTTTAAGACGAGCCTGGCCAGCATGGTGAAACCCCATCTGTACTAAAAATACAAAAACTAGCTGGGCATGGTGATGGGCGCCTATAATTCCAGCCACTTGGGATGCTGAGGCAGGAGAATTGCTTGAACCTGGGAGGCAGAGGTTGCAGTGAGCAGAGACTGCAGCATTACTGGGCACATACATCCATAATAACAAGTTTGTTTAACACGTCCCCATTCAGTGCCTACTCCATGCCCTGCACCGTATTAGGAATGCACATATCAGGAAGACATGGGTCCTGCACTCAGTGAGCTCAGTAGAAGGAGACAGACCAACACATAAGATAATCACTGTGATGATGTGGATGGGTATACTGTGCAGTAGGAATATAAGAAAATGGGAACAGTTGATGGGAACCTACTGGGTGACAGGTCACACCAGCCTTTTACATCTGTTATACCATTGAAGCCTCACCACCACCCTGTGAGTCAGAATTACCACTCCCATTTTCAAAGAGGGGGAAACTGAGCTGCCAGAGTCATCTGTGCAGTAGGAACACAGCTAGGGTCTCAACTCAGGCTATCTGTGGTCTTTCGTCCACACTCACAACAGCCTTTCCAATCTCTAGAACTGAGAGCACTGAATACTGGTCAGGGCCACCAAAAAGCTACTTTCATGTACTATTCATGTATTGGTGAGGGCGATCAGTGAGAACATTTTCGGCAAACAATTTGGCCGTATGTTGTTAAGAGCTTTAAAATAGCCATACTCTCTACCTCAGTATTAACTCTACTTCTCAGAATCTAGCCCCATTTCTAGATGGGGGTGCTACTGACATTCAGAGGGGGATAATACTTTCTTTTTAAAATTAAAAAAATTAAAAAAATATTTTTTTTGTAGAGACAAGGTGTCCTTATGTTGCCCAGGCTGGTCTCAAACTCCTAGGCTCAAAGGATCCTCAGGTGATCCTCACCTCGATCTCCCAAAGTGTTGGAATTACAGGCATGAGCCATCACACTCTCCCAAAAAGTTCATGTTTTTAATGATATGACAAATTGCTTATGCTACAGTGAGAGTAAAAGTCAGAATGGGCTGGGCATGGTGGCTCACACCTGTAATCCCAGCACTTTGGGAGGCCGAGGCGGGCAGATCATGAAGTCAGGAGTTCGAGACCAGCTTGGCCAGCATGGTAAAGCCCTGTTTCTACTAAAAATACCAAAGTTAGCCAGGCATGGTGTTGGATACCTGTAATCCCAGCTACTCAGGAGGCTGAGGCAGGAGAATTGCTTAAACTCGGGAGGTGGAGGCAGGAGAATTGCTTAAACTCGGGAGGCGGAGGTTGCAGTGAGCTGAGATAGCGTCATTGCACTCCAGCCTGGGTAACAGAATAAGACTCCCATCTCAAAAAAAACCAAAAACATAAACAGGGCTGGGCATGGTGGCTCATGCCTGTAATCCCAGCAGTTTGGGAGGCCGAGGCAGGTGGATCACGAGGTCAGGAGGTTGAGACCACCCAGGCCAATATGGTGAAACCCCATCTCTACTAAAAAAATACAAAAATTAGCTGGGCTTGGTGGCACGAGCCTGTAGTCCCAGCTACTTGGGAGGTTGAGGCAGGAAAATTGCTAGAAACCTGGAAGCAGAGGTTGCAGTGAGCCGAGATCACGCCACTGCACTCCAGTCTGGGCGATGGGGCGAGACTCCGTCTTGTTAAAAAAAAAAAAAAAAGACTCAGGGCCAGGCGCAGTGGCTCAAGCCTGCAATCCCAGCGCTTTGGGAGGCTGAGGCAGGTGGATCACGAGGTCAAGAGATCGAGACCATCCTGGTCAACATGGTGAAACCCCGTCTCTACCAAAAATGCAAAAAAAATTAGCTGGGCACCGTGGTACGTGCCTGTAATCCCAGCTACTCGGGAGGCTGAGGCAGGAGAATTGCCTGAACCCAGGAGGCGGAGGTTGCGGTGAGCCGAGGTCATGCCACTGCACTCCAGCCTGGGTAACAAGCACAAAACTCTGTCTCAAAAAAAAAAAGACTCAGAATGAAAAACTGTACAGAGAATTGAGACCTGTCTATATACCATTCCTACCTCCCCCGAAAAAGGCATTAAAAACACTGGAAAGTATTAAGTTATCCTATACATGGTGGGTTCTTCTGAGGTTGTGGGGCTTTGAAAGCTACCCTTGCTCTTCCTCCCACTCCCACAAATGATTCCCTACATCCGTGGGTGACCATGCTCAGCCTTTCCTGGTCATTCCATTTGCTTAATGCCTGTTTATGGTATACCTGCTATAGGGCACGTCCTGTGTACTGTGGCTCCAGGTCAGCACAGCCTCTCTGAGGAAACAGTACAGAGCTAGCAAAGAGTTTTCCAGGGCGCTCTGGGAAGAGGACTGAGCCTACTACCCGGTATCTGGGATGACACCTGAATAAAGTGGCAGCTAAGATAAAGCCTGTTGTATCAGCACTTCATTCCTTTTCAGAACTAAATATTCTGTTGTACAGTTATGCCACATATTGCTAACCTATTCACCAACTGATGGCCATTTGGTTGTTTCTACTTTTTGGCTGTTGTGAAAATTGCTGCTATCAATATTGGTGTACAGGTTTTTGTATGGGCAAATGTTTTCTTTTTTGTGGGGGGCAGAGTTTTGCTCTTGTTGCTCAGGCTAGAGTGTAATGGTAAGATCTCAGCTCACTGCAACCTCTGCCTTCCGGGTTCAAGTGATTCTCCTCCCTCAGCCTCCTGAGTAACTGGGATTACAGGCCTGTATCACCATGCCCGGCTAAGTTAGTAGAGACGAGGTTTCACCATGTTGGTCAGACTGGTTTCGTTCTCCCGACCTCAGGTGACCCGCCTCAGCCTCCCAAAGTGCTGGGATTACAGGCGTGAGGCACCACACCTGGCCTGGGCAAATGTTTTCAATTTTCCTAACGTATACACCTAGGAGTGGAATTCCTGGATGATACAATAACTCTGTGCTTAACTTTTTTTTTTAGATGAAGTCTCGCTCTGTTGCCCAGGCTGGACTGCAATGGTGCTATCTCAGCTCACCACAACCTCTACCACTAGGGTTCAAACAAGTCTCCTGCCTCAGCCTCCTGAATAGCTGGGATTATAGGCGTGCGCTGCCATGCCCAGCTAATTTTTGTATTTTTAGCAGAGGTGGGGTTTCACCATGTTGACCAGGCTGGTCCCAAACTCCTGACCTCATGTGACTCACCCGCCTCGGCTTTCCAAAGTGCTGGTATTACAGGCGTGAGCCTTGCATCTAGCCATGCTTAACTTTTTAAGAACCTACCAGGCTGTTTTCCAAATTGGCTGCATCATTTTGCATTCCCACCAGCTGTGGATAAGGGTTCCCATTTCTCTACATCCTTACCAAGGTATTTTATACTATGGTAGTTCTGCCTTATCTGCAGGGGATGTGTTCCAAGACTCCCCAGTGGATGTCTGAAACCACAGAGAGTACTGAATCTTATAGACACTATATTTTTCTTATATATATATATATATACACACACACACATGATAAAGTTTATAAGTTAGGCATAAGAAATTAAGAAATAGTAGCTGAAATAGCTCAGTTGGGAGAGCATTAGACTGAAGATCTAAAGGTCCCTGGTTCGATCCCGAGTTTCTACAGGTGTTTTCTGAGTTCTGCCTAATTATTACTCCCTCATACAACACTTGCACGTGAATCCCAGAAGCGTGTATATCTCCAATTTTTCCAGTCGGGCATGGTGGCTCTCTTTTCCACCCTGGAACACCTGTTCTGGAGAAATCCCTCATGACAGTCTCTGAAATACATTTTTGTGAACCAGCCTCAGCCTCCTCAGTCAACCTCAATTCCTATCAGGTGAGGTTCCTCATGCACAGCTGTTTAACCAACTAAAGAGGGTGGTTCTTTTCATTTCTCACACCTGACTTATACCAAGCCTGACAATGGTACCTACCTCAGAGGGTTGCTATGAGATGACGTGAGGCGATTTATTACCAGTGTCCAGCACAGGCCTGGTGCACAGTAAACATGCAGTAAAATGTATGGATTTCATAGCCCCCTGTCACACTTAAACACACGCTGGAGGAGATATCCATAAGACCAGCTGAGCGACCACTAGTCACCCAATTTCAGCTGCAGACATCGCAATGCACAAATCCTCTCTCATACACTTGGTAAAGTGTGTGTGGGTCACCCAAGTTTTAGTCTCCCTGAAAAAAAATCTCAGTCAATTACATATTAACACATATTATCTCAGTCTGTCAGTCATAGCCCTCAAAATAGTAGACACAGGAAATATCTCAATGTCATCTATAATTGTTGAGATGATTGGCCCAGCGGGGCATGGTGGCTCATGCCTATAATCTCAGCACTTTTGGAGGCTGAGGCAGGTGGATCACCTCAGGTAAGGAGTTCGGGACCAGCTTGACCAATATGGTGAAACCCTGTCTCTACTAAAAATACAAAAAGTAGCTGGGCGTGGTGGAGGGCACCTGTAGTCCCAGCTACTGGGGAGGCTGAGGCAGGAGAATAGATTGAACCCGGGAGGTGGAGGTTGCAGTGAGCCAAGATCGCCCCACTGCACTCCAGCCTGGGAGACAGAGCGAGACTTCGTCTCAAAAATAAATAAGCAAATAAATACCAGCATCTCCATCACACAGTATTATTCTGATCACATTCATAATCTGAGTCACCATCTCAAGGACACTTAAAGAATATCAGTCACACACACCCTCTCACAGTATCACACAACCCACCTACGAAGTCTCAAACAGCAACGGTTTCTGTCAGTCACACACTCCATGGTCAGTGAGACACTCAACCTATCAGAATCACACAGTCCCAACCAGTCAGATAAGCACACCCAAGAAGTGTCAGACACAGAACGCCTATAGGACACGTGCAACGGGTCCGTCCCACACCTCCCAGGCCACTGGTCCCACATTTTATCTGTCCGCCCGCTCCACACCCGGACCGTCCGTCCGCCCGTCCGTCCGTCACATCCTCTACGCGTGTGTCCGGCACTCACAGTCCGTCTATTCACGGCCCCTAGTTCGCCTCTCACTCTCCATCTGCTGGGCGGTCCCCCGCATCTTGCTCCGGCCGCCCCAGACGTTCGCGGCTTCTGGATCTGCTGTGTTCCCCTCCGGTCTGGATCAGGACGGAGAACACCCCCGAAACCCACCTCACCAGCACAGCCGGCGGACCCTTCGGGAGGCGCCGGCAGCGACGAGCCAGCTTGCTCGCCCGCCGACCCGGAGCACTGTTCCCAGCGTGTTCCAGGGGCCCGCGCCCGCCAGGGCTACAACTCCCGGCGTGCTCCGGGAGCTCAGGCGTACCCAGGCGCGGCGCCAGCTGGGAATTGTAGTTGCTGTTGGTTTGCACGAGGGCCGCGGAATCCCACACGGGCCTTTGTGGGACTGGGGTGGCGGTGAACGGGAGAGAAGGAGGGGATGCGCGGAAGGCAAGACGCAGAGGTTTCGGAAGTGTTGTGAGGCCTGAGGGTGAGGGATGAGGGTGAGGCAGGGAAATAGGGTCTGGAGGCAGGCAACCTAAGGACTTCCTAGAAGTAAATCAAATGGAAACTTCAGGAAATATCCTCTCCATTTATATAGGGGGTACAGTGAGTAAATAACTTTGTAATTTTACTTCATCCTCTTCACATACATAGGGCTTATACCAAATAACCAGTGGAAACCTCTAGAGGGTATTTAAACCACAGAAAATTCTGTAACGGGGCTCTTGAGCCCCTATGCTCGGACCTGCTCCTAATACTGTGGAGTGTACTTTCACTTTTAATAAATCTCTGCTTTTCATTGGCAACAAAAGCCAAAATAGACAAATGGGACCTAATCAAACTCCACAGCTTCTGTACGGCAAAAGAAACAGTCATTAGAGTGAGTCGGCAACCAACAGAATGGGAAAAAAATTTTGCAGTTTACCCATCTGACAAAAGGCTGATATCCAGAATTTACAAAGAACTAAAACAGATTTACAAGAAAAAAACCAACAAGCCCATTCAAAAGTGGGCAAAGGATATGAACAGACACTTTACAAACGAAGACATACATGAGGCCAACAATCATATGAAAAAATGCTCATCGTCACTGGTTATCAGAGAGATGCAAATCAAAACTACATTGAGATACCATCTCACGCCAGTTAGAATGGCGATCATTAAAAAATCAGGAGACAACAGATGCTGGAGAGGATGTGGAGAAACAGGAACACTTTTACACTGTTGGTGGGAGTGTAAATTAGTTCAACCATTGTGGAAGACAGTGTGGCGATTCCTCAAGGACCTAGAAATAGAAATTCCATTTGACCCAGCAATCCCATGACTGGGTATATATCCAAAGGATTATAAATCGTTCTATTATAAGGACACATGCACACGAATGTTCATTGCACACTTTTTATAATAGCAAAGACCTGGAACCAACCCAAATGCCCATCGATGATAGACTGGACAGGGAAAATGTGGCACATATACACCATGGAATATTATGCAGCCATCAAAAATGATGAGTTCGTGTCCTTTGTAGGGACATGGATGAACCTGGAGACCATCATTCTCAGCAAACTGACACAAAAACAGAAAATGAAATACTGCATGTTCTCACTCACAGGCGGTGATGAACAATGAGAACACATGGACACAGGGAGAGAGAGCATGGGGAGAAATGCCAGATATAGGAGAAGGGGAGGAAGGCAGCAAATCACACTGCCACGTGTGTACCTATGCAACTATCTTGCATGTTCTTCACATGTACCCCAAAACCTAAAATACAAGAAAAATAAAAAAAAAAAGAGACCCAGGGAATATTCAAAAGGTAAGTAGAAAGCAATATGAGATCATAAAAAAGTATGACATTAAGAAAAAGAAGCAGAGAGAAAGAAAATTCTATGTAAACAGAAATGAACAGACGCACCGGCCACGTCAAAGAATAATAACGTTGAAATGGAATTAGAAAAAAAAATAAAAAATCTCTGCTTTTGTTGCTTCATTATTTTCTTGCTCTGTGCGTTTTGTCCAGTTCTTTGCTGGAGACGCCAAGAGCCTGGGCACCCCTACCAGTAACAAGGATACCTGGGTGAAGGGTGAGGGTGCCTGCCTGAGGGGTTGGGGTGAGTACTGAAGGTATCTTTGTGAGAGGTGAGAGGTGTGGTTGCCCATGTCAGGGTGTGTATTGAGTGTAGCTATGTGTGGTTCACTGTGACCACATGGAATGGTTTTTATAAATGTGTATCATTTTTTACTGAATTTGAGCTGGGTGTCTGTCTGCATGGGTCACTCTGTGACCAGGTTTGTGGGTTGTTCTGTGTGCTTACTCTGTGTCTGTGACCTAATCGTCATATGTGATAATCAGGCAACTATGTTTGCCTGCAGCAGGTGTAATTGTGTCTGTGAGACAGATCCTTAGAGGTATGGGGTGGACCTGCCACAGTACAAAGGCCCTAGGCTGTGTGATGTTGTTAGGGTGACTGTGAGTAGTGGTATGATTGTGTGATTCAGTATCTTCTCTGTGTACGCGTGTGTGTATGTACATGTGAAAGACACTGAGCAGCAGACTCTGGCTTGGGGCCTGATACATGGAGGTTGATGGCCCAGTTTATATTCAGGTGAGGCCTTGTTGAGGTGGGGTATATATGATTGTTCAGTGGTGCTGGTGGTGTTCGTTGGCCCCAGCCTGTGCTCACATCCCCTATTGTTCTCAGACTTTGCCGTGCAGATTGCTAGCAGCTGGAATGAGCATATATTCTTTTCCTTCCACAGATAAATACTGAGCACCCACTACAGGCAGCCAGCACCACTGCAGACTGGATACTGCAATGATGATAAGCCTGGACTGCCTTTTTGGAGGCGATGTTATTGTGTAGGGAGGCAGATGGTAAACATTTTTCTGAGGAGTTGGTATTTAAGCTGAGGCCTGAATAGAGGGAAGAACTCGGGAAGAGTAAGTTCAAGGTAGATGGAACACAAATGCCCAGGTCAGGAGGTGGCATGGATGAGGAGGACTGCCTGGGGTGGATCAAGGGAGGATATGGGAGGGGACAAGGACAGAATGGGGAGGCCTGTGGGGGCAGATCTTGAAGGGCTTATGAGCCACATATGGACTTTTTTTTTCGTAGAGGCAGCATCTCACTATGTTGCCTAGGCTCCTTCTGAAGTCAGCCTCAAGCAATCCTCCTGCCTCAGCCTGTCAAAGTACTGGGGTTACAGGCATGAGCCACCACACTTGGCTCACATACAGAACTTGATTTCTACCTTGAGAGAAGTGGGAGCCATGGGATACCTCTGAGCAAAGGAGGACTAAGCTGTGACTTAGCTCTTCACAGGAAATCTCTGGCTGCTGTGGAGGACTGTGAAGCCTAGAGGAGTCAGAGAGACCACGGATGCAACCTGAGCAGATCAGGGAGGTCAGACACAGTGGTGGTGGCAGAGATGCTGACGAATAGTCAGATCTGCATCTGTTTTGAAGGTGTATCAGGGGTGTCTGATCTTTTGGCGTCGCTGGGCCACACTGGAAGAACTGTCTTGGGCCACACATAGAATACACTAACAATTGCTGACAGGTTTATTAAAAATCGCAAAAAAAAAGGCCGGGCGCGGTGGCTCAAGCCTGTAATCCCAGCACTTTGGGAGGCCGAGGCGGGTGGATCACGAGGTCAACAGATCGAGACCATCTTGGTCAACATGGTGAAACCCCGTCTCTACTAAAAATACAAAAAAAATTAGCTGGGCACGGTGGTGCGTGCCTGTAATCCCAGCTGCTCGGGAGGCTGAGGCAGGAGAATTGCCTGAACCCAGGAGGCGGAGATTGCGGTGAGCCGAGATCGCGCCATTGCACTCCAGCCTGGGTAACAAGAGCGAAACTCCGTCTCAAAAAAAAAAAAAAAAAAAAAAATCGCAAAAAAAACCTCGTAATGTCTTAAGAAAGTTTAGGAATTTGTGTTGGGCTGCATTCAAAGCTGTCCTGGGCCACAGACAGCCCATGAGCTGTGGGTTGGACAAGTCTGGTATAGATGATAGGGTTGATGGGTTAAACTAGTGTCTGACGGGTGATCAAGGCTGACCCAGGTGCCTGACAGTGCCCTCTGATTATGGGTGGGGGAAGGTGTATTAGTTTGCTAGGGCTGCCACAGATTTGGTAGCTTAAACGATGTAAGTTTAGTTTCTGAAAGATCTGGAGGCTGAAGTCCCAAAATCAAGGTGTCGGCAGATTTGGTTGGTTTCTCTCATGGCCTCTCTCTGGCTTGCAGATGGCTGCCTTCTCACTGTGTGTGTTTGCACAGGCCCCTGCTGTCTCTCTCTCTCTTCTTACAGAGACACCAGTCATGTTAGGTTAGGACCCATCCATATCTTCTTTAACCTTAATTCCTTATTTCAAGGTGTTTAAATACAGTCATATTCTGAGGTGAACTGGGGGTTAGGACTTCAACATATGAATTTTCGGGGACACAATTTTCCCTAACAGGGAGGAAAAGGGCAGTGGCATCAGTGTGGGGACACTGAGACCCCCTTTTGGGGAGACTCTAAGGAAGAGATGAGAGAGACAGGGTAGCAGCTGGAGGGACTCTGGTGCCAGGGAGAGAAAGAAGAGCCCTGGTTGACAGTTAATGGGAATAGGGTGACTTGGAAAACCAATGGAATCTCTCCTCACTGGCTTCCTTTCTGCCTAGATTGTGAGTCTGTGCTATTAGGCCTGAGACAGGTCCTGCCCTTTTCATAGCTGAGGACAGGGTATCCTTGATGCCTCACACAGGGCTAGGTACTAAGGGTTGGCTGAGCTGGGCACGGTGGCTCACACCTGTAATCCCAGCACTTTGGCAGGCCGAGGCGGGCAGATGACAAGATCAAGAGATCAAGACCATCCTGGCCAACATGGTGAAACCCCGTCTCTACTAAAAATACAAAAATTAGCCAGGCATGGTGTCACTCGCCTGTGGTCCCAGCTACTTAGGAGGCTGAGGTGGAAGAATCGCTTGATCCCAGGAGATGGAGGTTGCAGTGAGCCAAGATTGCGCCACTGCACTCCAGCCTGGAAGAACAACAATGTTCCCTTGCCTGGAGCTTCTTAGCTAGATTCTTCCCATTCATCTCCCGTACCCACCATGGCACCTGTAGTCCACACCCCAGAATTTGGAAGGCCGTTTCCCTTGGTCACCCCTTTTGTGCTTGTGCTCTGTTCAGTCTGCCCTCAGGCCTCTGGACTCTCCTCCCTCCCTCTCTCTCCCTTTGTCTCTTTCTTATCCCCTCCCCAAATTTCAAACCTTATCTTTTCCAGGGAGTATTCACTTTAATTTGGCCATTGTGTCACCTATTGCTCAGTAACAAACAGCTACAACAGCTCTGTGACCCACAGCAAAAAAAAAAAAAAAAAAAACTGCTTATTTTTGTCATGTGTCTGAGGGTTGGCTGATCTAGTCTGGGCTCAGCTGGGCTTGGCTCTAAGCTGCAGTTGGGTCCAGGTCTGCTGCATTTGTCTTTCGGGGCTCACAGGAAAAATTCATCTCATCCTGATGGCAGAGACACAGTAGGCTTTAGGCCTGGACTCAATACTAGCGTGCTCTCCTTTTCCACTCAGATTCTGTTGGCCAAACCAAGTCACAGGGCCACACTGAAACTCAAGGAATGGGTGGGGACATCCATGCTGCCTTTGGTAGGAAGATCCATAAATATGGCCATGGGTACATATGCAAGGAATGGGGAAGAACTGAGCTAGTAATTCAGTCCACTACAAAAATCCTTTTGGTTTCTTTCCACGTAGAAAGCCAACAAAATCATTTGTGATCCTAGTTTCTTTTAGTTCAAGGAAAGTGATCATTCTAAGAGTGTCTGTTTACCTGAGGACCTCCGGCCGTGCCGAGTATTTGTCAACAATGTGATTTATGGTGGCGAACCTTGGGCCCCACGGTAACAGTCTGGCCACTGGGCTGGGGGGGAAGACTAAGTGACTAAAGTCATGTCCGTGCCCATATGATCATCCCTAGTAAATGTCCTGAACACCAAGGCTCGGGTGAGCTTCCTTGGTTGGTGAGAAGTGCTGTGTTCTAAGGAAGCCTGTTAGAGCCTCAGTGCTCAGGGTTTTATTAAGGGTTGGTCACACAGGCACCCTCTGCCTGGCACGTACCGAAATTTCGGACGGACGGAAGGAAGGAAGGACGGGAGGGAGGGAGGAAGGAAGGAAGGAAGGAAGGAAGGACGGGAGGGAGGGAGGAAGGACGGGAGGGAGGAAGGAAGGAAGGACGGGAGGGAGGGAGGGAGGAAGGAAGGACGGAAGGGAGGGAGGGAGGGAGGAAGGACGGAAGGGAGGGAGGGAGGGAGGAAGGAAGGAAGGACGGGAGGGAGGAAGGAAGGAAGGACGGGAGGGAGGGAGGGAGGGAGGAAGGAAGGAAGGACGGGAGGGAGGGAGGAAGAACGGGAGGGAGGGAGGAAGGAAAAAAGAAGGAAGGATGGACGGACGGGAGGGAGGGAGGGAGGCAGGAAGGAAGGACGGGAGGGAGGGAGGAAGGAAGGAAGAAAAGAAGGAAGGATGGACGGACGGGAGGGAGGGAGGAAGGAAGGAAGGAAGGACGGACGGACGGGAGGGAGGGAGGGAGGAAGGAAGGACGGGAGGGAGGGAGGAAGGAAAGAAGGAAGGATGGACGGACGGGAGGGAGGGAGGGAGGAAGGAAGGAAGGAAGGAAGGAAAGAAGGAAGGACGGACGAGACGGAGGGAGGGAGGAAGGAAGGAAGGACGGACGGGAGGGAGGGAGGAAGGAAGGAAGGAAGGACGGACGGGAGGGAGGGAGGGAGGATGGACGGGAGGGAGGGAGGGAGGAAGGAAGGTGTTTTACATGAACCACACAGTTCGTACAACACATAGTATATAGGCCTGACTCATCCATTAGGGAATGGTGGGAACCCTTCCTCAAATCCAAGTTCCCAGATGCCAGCCAAGGGCCAGTCTTGCACCAGGCCTTTCCAGGAATGACAGCCCGAGGTGTGCTGTGTTCACCTTCTCTGTACAGTGGTGCAGACAGGGGATGGAAGGGACCACAGAAAGGCAGAGGCCACGGTTAGAGAGCCAGCTCACCTGCTGGGCATTACTGTGGCTGTTTCAGCAAACATGCACCCACTATTTGCAGATGCTCACACCACAACCTCAAAAAACAAGGTATTTTACAGGGCCCTGGGCCTAAAGAAAGGTAAGCAATGTGCCCATTATCTTCTAGCTAATAAGTAATGGTATTTGTCTAAGGCATGAGGCCCTGTGTGGTAGGCTGGGAAAAAATGGCTCCCTAAAGAGATATTAATTAGCTAATTCTCAGAATATAACTTTATTAATTTGCTAGGGTTGTTATAACTAAGTACCACAAACTGGATGGCTTAAAATACACAGAAATGTATGATCTCACAGTTCTGGAAGCCAAGTCTGAAATCAGAGTGACAGCAGAGTTGATTCTTTCTGGAGGCTCTGGGGGAGAAACCATCCTATGCCCCTCCCCTAGCTTCTGGTGCGTCCCGGCAATTGCTGGCCTTCCTTGGCTTATGCACGTATTACTCTAATCTCTGCCTGTCTTCACACGGCCTTCTTTCTATGTGTATCTCTCTGTGTTCTCTCTTCTGTCTCTTATAAGGCCATCAGTCATGGAATTTTGGGTATACCCTAAATCTAGGATGATTCTTCTTGAGATCCTTAATTACATTTGCAAAGACCCTATTTCCAAATAAGGTAGTGTTCTAAAATTCAAGTGGAGCCAGGTGCTGTGGTTCACGCTTGTAATCTCAGCATTTTGGAAGGCCGAGGTGGGAGGATCACTTGAGCCCAGGAGTTTGAGATCTGCCAGAGTAACATATTGAGACCCTGTCTCTACAAAAAAAAAAAAAAAAATATCAGGGCATGGTGGTATGTGCCTGTAGTCCCAGATACTGGGGAAGCTGAGGGGAAGGATAACTTGAGTCGAGGAGGTCGAGGCTGCGGTAAGCTGTAATCACCATTGCACTCCAGCCTGGGTGACAGAGGAAGACTCTGACTCAGAATCATAATAATTTAATTCAGGTGAACTTGAAGTTTTTTCCATTACAATTACCTTATATGGTAAAGGAATGGTGGTGATTTAAGTAAAAGGAGATTGAGAAGGTAAGCTTATTCTGGATTACTCAGGTGGGCCCCATATGTAGTCATAAGTACCTTTCCTTTTTCTTTTTTTGAGACAGAGTGTCACTCTGTTGGCCAGGCTGGCATGCAGTGGAGCAATCTTGGCTCACCAAAACCTCCGCCTCCCAGGTTTGAGCGATTCTCCTGCCTCAGCCTCCCAAGTAGCTGGGACTACAGATGTGCGCCACCACACCCAGCTAATTTTTGTATTTTTAGTAGAGATGGGGTTTCACTATGTTGGCCATGCTGGTCTCCAACTCTGGACTTGTGATCCACCAGCCTCAGCCTCCCAAAGTGCTGGGACTACAAGCTTGAGCCACCATGTTTGGCTACATGTACCCTTCTAAAAGAGAAGCAGAGAATTTTGAGACACACAGAAAAAAGACAGCAATATGAAGATGGAAGCAAAAATTGGAGTGATGCAGCCTCAATCCCAGGGATGGCAGCAGCCAAAAGAAGCTGGAAGGAAAACTGAACAGATTCTCCCCTGGAGTTTCCAGGGAAAGTGTGGTCCTGCCAACAACTTTATTTCAACTCAGTTATAACAATTTTGGACTTTCGGGCCAGGCACAATGGCTCACGCCTGTAATCCCAACACTTTGGGAGGCCAAGGGAGGTGGATCACCTGAGGTCAGGAGTTTGAGACCGGCCTGGCAAACATGGCAAAACCCCGTCTCTGCTAAAAATATAAAAATTAGCCAGGTGTGGTGTGGGTGCCTATAATCCCAGCTATCCAGACGTTGAGGTAGGAGGACAGCTTGAACCCAGGGGGCAGAAGTTGCTGTGAGCTGAGATTATGCCACTTCACTCCACCCTGGGCGAAAGAGTGAAACTCCATCTCAAAAAAAAAAAAAAAAAATTTGCCAGCTGGGCACAGTGGCTCACACCTGTAATCCCAGCACTTTGGGAGTCTGAGGTGGGTGGGTCGATCACCTGAGGTCAGGAGTTCAAGACTAGCCTGGCCAACATGGTGAAACCCTGTCTCTACTAAAAATACAAAAATTAGCCAGGCATGGTGGTGGGCGCCTGTAATCCCAGCTACTCAGGAGGCTTAGACAGGATAATTGCTTGAACCCAGGAGGCGGATGTTGCAGTGAGTGGAGATCAAGCCACTGCACTCCAGCCTGAGTGATACTCCTCTCAAAAAAAAAAGAAAAGAAAGGGTGATGGGTTACAGGCATGAGCCACCATGCCCAGCCAACAGCCCTACTTTCTAAGCCAGTGAATAACTTGTCCTGATCCGTGAAACTACCAGACACTGACAATCAATGATAGTGACCAGTCAATCTATATAGTGACCAATCAATCAATGCCTTCTCTGCAACCAGGACCTGCTTCTGACCCTGTGATTGAGCCTGGGTCAGGCCTGAAAATGAAAAGAGTCCCCTGGTGGGGCACGGTGGCTCACACCTGTAATCCCAGCACTTTGGATTCACACAAACACACATATATGTATATATACATTCACACATATGTATATATGTGTGAATTTATGTACTTATATCAACTTTTCTAATTCCCATTTATATGAAATGTCTAGAACACGCAAATCCACAGAGACAGAAGAAGATCAGAGGTTGTCAGGGGCTGGGAGAAGTGACTGCTTAATGAGTGTGGGGTTTGTTTAGGGTTTGTTTTGGGGCTGTTTCACTTACTGGATCTTTTACCGTGGATGCACATTGTACTTCTCTGCCCCAAAAGAGAAGAAATAAACCCACCAATCTGATATAGAAACTCTCATTTCACTCACTTGGGATGTCTCTTTCCGCAGTCCATGGGTCCTCCCACTGCTCCAGCGTAGAGATCACATCTGGTTTGGAATCAGGTCCTGTCAATGGTGAGAAAGGAGGAAGAAAATGTGAATGATATTGTTCCGAGTCAGCCAGGATCAGACACTGCAGCATATAAGCCAAAGAATGGGAAAAGTCTCTTCCTGGTGATATGGGATGGGATGTCAGTCTCTCCACAGAGGGGATCTGGCTGGGGAACACAGGACACATAAACATGTGAGTAACTGAAGACAAGGCAGGGGATAAATACACATGAGTGACAAGGATGAAGAGACAGAGGCCTGATCCACAGACACCAGGTTGCTGTAGTTCCTTAGCATCACATCTCGGTACAAGATCCTCTGCACTGGGCCCAGCAGCCCCGACTCCTCCCATGTGAAGTCCACAGCCACATCCTTAAAGGTCACTGGCTTCTGAAACATCACACATGGTGGCTTAGTCATGGGCCATGTTTGACAAGAGTAGTCCCATGGGGAATGGCAGTAGGTTACTATCCTGGAAAATGCCCTGTTGTCTTGGGGGAGACTAAGTGGCCTAATTAAAGAGGGGGTGCTCTTATCACCATGATTCTGTGCTGGGTACTGTAGCTCCCACCGTCACAGTGGGTTATGGACTGTTGTATACCCCCAAATCCATGTTGAAGCCCTAATCCCCAAGATTATAGTATTTGGAGGTGGGGCCTTTGAGAGCCATTTAGGTTTAGGTGAGGTCATGAGGATGGGACTCCCATGATGGGATTATGCCCTTCTTAAAAGAAAAGGAACCCTCTTTCTCTGCTCCATGTGAGAACACACCAAGGTAGACATCTGCAAGCCAGAAAGAAGGTCCATACCAGAACCCAGTCATGCTGACACTTTGTTCTTGTACTTCCACCCTCCAGAACTGTGATTTCTGTCATCATCGCCCCTAAGTGCTCAGCTTTGTAGACTCTAGAGGGACAGCTGGAGAGCCCTCATCAGCTCCCGCACCTCCACTGAAGTGATGATGTCCCTCCTCTGTGAGCCCCACCTCCTTCATGACTTGCTAGGGGTGGCCTGAAGGCCAACAGCATGCCTGCATCATCCCTGACGTGTGCCCGACCCAGACCCTTCCTGCCACCATAGTGGTGTCCCCAGGCTCTGGCTGAGAAGCTGTCCCAGCCTTCAGAGATCTGACCCAGGGTTAAGGACCCAAGCCTAGCTGTATTATTAACGGCCCCTTCGCCTGTGCAGTGTCTCCCTGGAAACCCCAAGGACCAGGGACCTGTGATGTGGCAACATCAATTTCAGAACCCCAACTTTCCATTCTTTTTTTTTTTAATTTACTTTTTTATAGAGATGGGGTTTCTCCATGTTGGTCAGGCTGGTCTAGAACTCCAGACTGCAGGTGATATGCCCACCTTGGCCTCCCAAAGTGATGGGATTACAGGCGTGAGCCACCACACCCCAGCCAACTTTCCATTCTTTAAAAGATACGTGGTCTTGGCTGGGCACAGTGGCTTACACCTGTAATCCCAACACTTTGGGAGTCCGAGGTGGGTGGATCACCTGAGGTCAGGAGTTCAAGACCAGCATGAACAACATGGTGAAACCCCATCTCTAAAAAAAAAAAAGATATGTGGTCTTGCTCTGTCACCTAGACTGGAGTACAGTGGTGCAATCACAGCTCACTGTAAGCTCGAGCTCCTGGGCTCACGTGATTCTCCTGCCTCAGCCTCTCAAGTAGCTAGGACTCTAGACACATGACATTACACCTAATTTTTTTAATTTAAATTTCTGTAGACAGAGTCTCACTATGTCATCCAAGCTGGTCTCAAACTCCTGATCTCAAGGAATCCTTCTGCCATGGCCTTCCAAAGTGTTGGGATTACAGGCATGAGTCCAGTCCCTATGTTCCATTCCTAACCCCGAAAACCCTACCCTGTATCCAGATGCCAGCTGCAAGGCAGGTGTGGCTCAGTGCCACTATTCACTCATTCATCCACTGCTCTCTCTCATGGGTCCAAGCACACATGCCAGGCTCTACTCTGTCCCTGTCCTGAGTATTGACTGATAAGCAGTGCAGTCACAAACAACCCCTGTGCCCCAGATCTGCTCAGATGTGGGTCCCTCTACCCATTTCCTCATCTCTAAGACGCAACCAGGGATGAGTGGGAGGAGTAGGAAGAGGAGGAAGAGGGACTGCGGTTAAAGAAGAGACCTTACCCTGAGATGTGCACACCAGGGCTTGTGTGGGTATTAGAAGTGCCACGGGAAGGGGATGGAAACGAATGTGCATGCTGAGCCCATTTGGGGAAACTCACATGGACGGCATATGCCAGGAATGCAGTGTCCTGGGCTAACATCCTGGGCTTCCACCTCATCCTCTTTGATGCTCCTCTGAGATAGAAGAGCAGGGGGAGTGAAGGGATTATGAGGGTGGCTAGACCTGCCCTTAGGTCCCAGAGACCCTAAGGCCCCAAGGCCCCAAGGCCCTGCCAATGCAGTACAGACCTAACCTGGGCCTGCTTCCTCTTGCTCACCCTTCAAGGCTTGACTGAACCACAGCCCCCAGTATTTACTTATATGCCAAGCATGCTGTGGACACCTTAGTTATCAGTTCACTGGATCTTTACTCTGCCCCCGAGTGAGGCAACACAATGAAACCAAATTTATGGGAAAGATATGAGGTACTGAGAGGGTATGATGCTTGTCTGAGTCGAGCTTCTACAGCAAAGCATGTGCCCTACCCTAGGATCAGACCTCTAGCCAAGAAGGTGGGGCCTGAGGAGAAGGCAGTATCCATGCTGACTGATGAGGTGACTTGTGCCCTTCACGTGAAGAAGGCATCTGTACGGAGAGTGACAGGGTGACCCATGTTCCTCAGAATTAGACTGGGGATATGGTGCTGCCCTGGGCACTAGTGTAGAGGTACATGCAGCCTCTGTGGATCTGGGGTGACCCAGGGAGGATACAGCCTGGGAGGCAAAGGCCCGGGACCTGCGACTCCACTGCATGCCACTGACTGACTATATCCCAGCTCTCACCCTGTTTCCTGGAGCGAATAATGAGGACAGACTCCCAGGAGGATGAAATGGCATCACTCTGTGGAAAGACTTTAGTGAAACAGAACACGAACACCTCATGGCATCCTTGCTGCCTAGAGCCAGGCACTTTCACACCCTCCTTCCCCTCCTGATTCCCAGGAAGGGCAAGGGAATCACTGGGCTTGGGGCTCCACAGAAAAAGACTTCCTGATTTGATGCTTAACAGCTGTGCCAAAAAAAAGAGCCGTGCCTCAGATGCCTCCCTCTGAAACATAAAGCCCTCAACACAGAAACCTCACCTCATCGGGTACCTCCTCTGGAGCTAGGCTGGGTGCCGTGGGCAGCCACAGCCACCTGTGCTGCTGCCCCCACACTGCCCCTGGCTGTGGGCTTCTCAAAGGCTTGCTGTGTAATGTTCCTTAACACGGGGACAATGTGTTGGAGTGTGGCAATGTTCAGGCACTGCTAGCCAGATAAGGGGACCCACTTCCACCAAGTGACAGCAGTTCCCCTTTCCTGAGCACCTCCTGCAGGTCAGGCTGCCCAGCAAACACCTTTGGTGGTACTCTCAACAAATCGAAGGGAGGTGTCATCATTACCCTCTTTCACAGGTTGGGAAACTGGGGCACAGAGAAATTAAACCAAAGGTTGTTTGGTGAGTGACTGGCAGGCAGAGGTTTGAAACTTTGTGCTTTCAAAAATACATATGCATTTTTTACAGACATACAAGTGCTCAGGTTAGTGAATTTGGTGAAGGACCGTGTAACATTCAAATTAAACTCTAGAATGTTCTGTGAGGATGGAAAAGTTGTGAAGTTGTGCTGTCCAATATGGCCCCATCAGCCCCATGAAGCTCGTGAGTACTAGAAACATAGTTGGTGTGACTGGGAAATGGAACTTGCTATTTTATTTGAATTTAGTAACTACCATATCGGACAGTGCAGGGCTAGGACATTTCAGCACCTTATACAGCTCCCATGTAGTAATTAGTCCTTCCAGAAAAGGTGTCCCAGACTTTTTTTTTTTTAAGACAGTGTCTTGCTCTGTTGCCCAGGCTGGAGTACAGTGGCACGATCTCAGCTCACTGCAAACTCTACCCCCTACCAAGTTCAAGCAATTCTCCTGCCTCAGCCTCCTAAGTACCTGGGATTATAGGCACCTAGCACCATGCCCAGGTAATTTTTGTATTTTTAGTAGAGGCGGGGTTTTGCCATGTTGGCCAGGTTGGTCTTGAACTCCTGACCTCAGGTGACCTACTCGCCTTGGCCTCCCAAAGTGCTAGTATTACAGGCATGAGCCACCACAGCCAGCCCAGCCTATTCTTGAACTTCACACAAAATTATGTGCCCTGTTACAGTCTGAGGCCTCAGCTCCATGTTCTCAGGCTTCAAGGACAGCAGCCACAGGATACCTCTATGAGGACTATGTGGGAACAAAGTGAGATAGCAAGTAGGTGAGTAGAGAGTAGCTCTATAGAGAGAAACATCGGTCATTCCAGCTGTACCAAATTCAGGTCCTAACAGATACTCCCAGGAAGGACGAGCAGACGTGGGGCCTTTTGTTCCTTCCTACAGAGGTAAGAGTACTGAACAGACTATCTGGGCCCTGATTTGCCCAGTACCCACACCTTCCTCCCCATCTTTTTCCTAAGCTGAGAATGGCAAGCATGATGGTAGAGTCTGTCAGAGCTAGGATCAAATCTTCACTCTCTGCCATGATTCTGGGCTGCTCACTTCCCTTGGGGTCTGTTTCATATCTATAAAATGGAACTACCTGTGAAAAGCTTTTTGCTCATTCATTCATTTAAGGAATGAATTATATTTAACAAAGTTTTGGAGTTTTGGATTTTATTAATAAAACGTATGGACATGCGTTTTTCTCTTGTTAGATATGTACCTTCATAACGTCCTTGGTTTTCCCTCTGAGCCTACAAAGCTGACATTTGCTGCTTGTGTTTTACAGAAGAGTTTGCCAACCATACTATGATGGCCTGGGCAGTGATGAAGAGTTTAAAGTGACGGGTGGCCTCACCAGACAGGGGTAAAAGACCCTCTCTACCCAATGCTGAGTGGACAGGGATGAAGAGGGCAATGGGAGGCAGGAGTCCCATTAGGAGGTAGTGGCCTAGAATGAGCTGAGGAAGGCAGGGCAGTGGAGTAAAGGCAGCAGAAGTAGGGTGTGTTTTAGAGGGATATCTGGTTTCTGAAAATATCTAGCCCTGTATCTGCCCCCTGTACCACTGTGACTACCACCCCACCATCTGCCTCACCTGGTACCTCAGGCTCCATCACCTCTGCTCTGTCTCCACACTGCTTGAGCTCAGCAGCTCCAGGGTAGGAAGCGCCTGAGGTCTCAGTCCTGGGCAGAGGTCCCAAGTTGCTAATGACTCTTGCAGAGACGAGTTTGTTTCCAGGGCCACTGCCGCCTTCTCGTTGATCATATACACCAGTGCAGCCCCAGGCTCTTGGCTTTGACTTCAGGGGTCCAGGCGTGGGGTTCTGGAAAATAAAGTATGGCTAGTGAGCACAAGCAGTAAGGAGCAGGTGTGGTCATGGCCATGCACACGGGCGCTCCTGGGACAGACACAAATACACCCAGGCTAGACTCTCCCCAAGCCCAGGTCCAACCAATGGCCTCCCCTTCCCGAATTAAGAATATACATTCGGCCGGGCGCGGTGGCTGAAGCCTGTAATCCCAGCACTTTGGGAGGCCAAGGCGGGTGGATCATAAGGTCAAGAGATCGAGACCATCCTGGTCAACATGGTGAAACCCCGTCTCTACTAAAAATTACAAAAAATCAGCTGGGCACAGTGGCGCGTGCCTGTAATCCCAGCTACTCAGGAGGCTGAGGCAGGAGAATTGCCTGAACCCAGGAGGCGGAGGTTGTGGTGAGCCAAGATCGCGCCATTGCACTCCAGCCTGGGAAACAAGGGCGAAACTCCGTCTCAAAAAAAAAAAAAAAAAAAAAAGAATATACATCCACACAAATACCTGTACATGAATGTTTACAGCAGTAGCATTTGTAATATCAGAAGAGTTGGAAACAACCCAGTGTCCATGAGTCAACACACTGTGGTATATCCACATAACAGAGCACTATTCAGTCATAAAGAGGAATGAAAAACTAATACATGAGGCCGGGCGCGGTGGCTCAAGCCTATAATCCCAGCACTTTGGGAGGCCGAGGCGGGTGGATCATAAGGTCAAGAGATCGAGACCATCCTGGTCAACATGGTGAAACCCCGTCTCTACTAAAAATACAAAAAATTAGCTGGGCACGGTGGCGCGTGCCTGTAATCCCAGCTACTAAGGAGGCTGAGGCAGGAGAACTGCCTGAACCCAGAAGGCGGAGGTTGCGGTGAGCCGAGATCGCGCCATTGCACTCCAGCCTGGGTAACAAGAGCGAAACTCCATCTCAAAAAAAAAAAAAAAAAAAGAAAAAAGAAAAACTAATACATGGACTCTGAAAACATGTTCAGTGATGAAAGCCAGACACAATAAACCACATACTGTATGACTCCATTTATATGACGTGTTCAGAATAGGCGAATCCAGACACATGAAGCGGATCAGGGTTTGCCAGAGGCTGAAGGAAGACGGAATGGGGAGTGACGGGAAGGGGAAAAGGCAAACGCACACAACTGAGGCCACACCTGAGGCCACACCTGCAGACACGTGGCCTCAACACATGCAGGACACTTCCCTCCCAGGGGCGCAGAAGCGGTAACACTCGACCAGACACGGGAGACCGCGCCCCTTCATTCACCGGTCCTACTCGCCCAGTCACACCCACCGCCAGCACACCCAGGCCACGAGCGCCTCGCCGTACCTCACAATCACCCTCGCCGCTCTACCACATCCACGGACTCACCACCGCGGCAGCCTCCTCAGAGAGCCCGACCGCGACTTACACACCCACCGACGGCACTTCCGGTATGCACTTCCGCCAGGTGGCCAACGACCGCCCAGGACTTCACCTCCCAGAAGACCCTGCGCGCTACCTGCTTCATAACGGCCATGCACAGGATACAAGGCCTTCTGGGAAATGGAGTTCACAGCGTGGCGGGACCGGAAGGGGAGCGTGGGAGCTGCAAAGCGTGGGAACCTGTCAGCACTAGAAGGAAAGTATATTTGACATCCATAGTTTCGTATGTTCTTTTAAACATATAGCATGTTTACTTTTTTCTTTCTCTACGCGCACACACGTACACACATAAAAGTATATCGGAGATATTTTCCCCCTGAACCTTGTATATAATTAAGCAGATGTCCCCTATGAACACGTACATTCTTCCAGTCACCCAAGGAAGGACATTGAAGCCTGTAACTAATCCAGTCCACATGCTAAACTCTCCAGTTGTCCCAATGCCTTACGTAGTTTTCATCTTTTATTCAAGCACAAACTAAACACGCATTACACTCTACTGTCTCATTTCAAATTGCTTTCAATCCAGAACGGATCCTGTTGTTTCTTTATAATGATCTTGGCAGTTTTCATGTATCCAAGTGAGATTTCCAAAATGCCCTCCAATTTAGGTTTGTCCGTATAGAGTATAAAACAATCATAATCTAATTTTACACACTCGGTTTCTTCCACTCACCCTGGACATTTCTCCACTAAATTAATTATTTTTTGAAAACTTTTTGAAACATGAATAGTATTACACCATATGAATACCATTTCTTTATCCCCAACCTCCAGCCATTTAGCTAGAAATTGAGCAACACGTGTATGCAGTCCCTATACATTCCTATTTCTGTATGTCCAGGAGACTCCCTAATAACAGGCAGGCCCTGCATGATGCAAACCAGTTTAATTGAGGGAGGTGCCCGGGGACAATGTGGGACATAATTCAATCTTGACACAGAAGGACTGTATGACCTAGTAAAGGCTCCCAATGTGCAAACTGACTCGGCCTACTCCTCCCTATTCCCACTACAGTCAGATCATCACGGGGGGAACTTTAAAAGTTCTAACAGCTATCTACCTTTACACCACCATCCAATAGAACTTTCTGAAATAATGGAAATGTCTTTTAACTAGTGAAAAGTTAAATAGGGTTAGTGAATGAGGAACCGAATTTTGTTTTTAATTTTCATTAATTTAAATTTACATCTAGGCCCAGGTGTGGTGGCTCACACCTGTAATCACAGCACTTTGGGAGGCCACAGTGGGAGAACCCCTTAGACCCAGGAATTCGAGACCAGCCTGGGGAATACAGTGTGTCCCTGTAACTATAAATTAAAAAAAATTTAAATAAAAATGATAAAAATTACATCTAAATAGCTATATATGACTGGTAGCTACCATGTTGTATAGCGCTTTCTGGAAGATGTTTATGTTGGATCTCCTTACAAGAGACCTATGGGAGACTGTTTTTCAGACTGGATGCAGATTTCTTCCCAGTAACCTATTACAGAAGCAACTTGAATACCTTGGAGGACATGCAGGTAACACTGGAAATGGGGGACATGGCGGTTCAGTCCAACTTGTATGTAGGGGACTCATAATTGGGGCTCATTGATACAGGAAATTTAATAAAGTAACTTGGAAATTTATGTGTGCTACAGCCACCTTCCAGGAACCTTTATCTTACCTTACCTCTTTGGTATCATCGAGCTAAAGCTGTTTTACACTCAACTGGTTCTGCTAACACACACACACACACACACACACACACACACACACACACACACACAAGTATATGTAGAACAATATGAATATGACCAAGACACACAGTCTCTGCTCATGTGAACATTGTTGGGTGGGGGGGAAGCGACAATAAACAACGAAAGAAATTATCAAACTTACTATGATTTGAAAGAGTTCAGATTTTTGTTATTTATTTTTTGAACTAGTAGTAATTTTACATATTTCAAAATTCCAAAAATATAAAAAGATAAAGAGTGAAAATTATTCATCACTGTCCTCCCAATTCTCCTGGCCAACCAGTATGCTTGCTACTTTTACCCTTTCAGAGATGATGTGTGTACATATAAGCAAATGTTTATTTATTTATTTTAAGACAGAGTTTTGCTCTTGCTGCCCACACTGGAGTGCAATGGCACAATCTTGGCTCACTATAACCTCCACCTCCTGGGTTCAAGCGATTCTCATGCCTCAGCCTACTGAGTAGCTAGGATTACAAGTGTGCGCCACAACACCCGGCTTTTATATTTTTATTAGAGATGCGGTTTCATCATGTTGGTCAGGCTGGTCTTGAACTGCTGACCTTGGGTGATCCACCCGCCTCGGGCATGCCCCGCTTGTTTCGTCTTTACATACATGGAAACATATTCCACAGTTTTATACCTTGCTTTTTTTCTACTTAACTATCTTGGATGCCTTTGAATATCTTCAAGCTTTTTCTTGCATTAGTATAGTTTGAGCATCCCTAATTCAAAAATCTGAAACATTTCTGGTCCCAAGCATTTTGGATAAGGGATACTTAACCTGTATATAAAGAGTCTTCATTTTTAAGGCTATGATCTCCATTCCACTGTAAATGACTTAGCCAGCTTCCCATGGTGGACATGGAGGGTTGTTTCCAAATTCTGACTTTTAAAATCAGTAGCATAATGAAAACCATGTACAAACAGTCTGCACAAATACAAATATATCTGTACGATTCGTTCCCAGCAGGTTTGCTTAGACAAATAGTTTATGTATTTGTAATTTAGATAGTGGCTGATACACTGCCCTCCATAGAAGTCCTATCAATTCACATTCCCACTGGAAATGTCTAAGAATGCCCACCAATGCCCACTTTGAGAAAACTCAAGCCTGGTAAAATACTGAGTGGAGAGCACATTGTTACAATCCTCCTGAAAGTCAATTTAAAAAGCTACATGAAATTCATAGAGCAAATCCTCAAAATACAGTAAGCACATGTTACAAGAGAACTAGAAGGAATTCCAAATTTCTAAACACAAGATAACTATACACATATATATTCCTCTGTATGTATGCAAAATTTAGTGTACACTACATGTATGTGTAAACACATGTGCACATTTTAAGAAAAAATTGCAAGGAAAATTAATAAAATCCTAATGGTGCCGGGCGCGGTGGCTCACGCCTATAATCCCAGCACTTTGGGAGGCTGAGGCGGGTGGATCACGAGGTCAAGAGATCGAGACCGTCCTGGTCAACATGGTGAAACCCCATCTCTACTAAAAATACAAAAAATTAGCTGGGCATGGTGGTGCGTGCCTGTAGTCCCAGCTACTCGGGAGGCTGAGGCAGGAGAATTGCTTGAACCCAGGAGGCGGAGGTTGCGGTGAGGCCGAGATCGTGCCATTGCACTCCAGTCTGGGTAACAAGAGCAAAACTCCGTCTCAAAAAAAAAAAAAAAAAAAAAAAATCCTAATGGTAAGGACCATCTATGGACGGCTAAAGTATGAGGAATTTTACACAAGTTTTCATACTTTTTTTTTACTTTTATGCATTTTCGAAGTTTTGCTACAAAGAACTCACATTACTTTTATGAACCAAAAAAACATGTCTTTTCCCTAGTCTGAGGGAGTTTCTATCTGTTTCAAAATATCTACAAGGAAATCAGTAGGAATATCGTGCTTAGAAAATGTGAACTGAGAAACAGAAAGTATGCAAAGATCTGAAACACTTCTGGTCCCAAGCATTTCGGGTAAGATATATTCAAGCTGTATATGAGGAGTCTTCCTTTTTAAGGTTATGATCACCATTCCACCATAAATGACCTAGCCAGTTTCCCATGGTGGACATGGAGGTTGTTTCCAAATTTTTACTTTTAAAATCAATAGCATAATGAAATCCATGCAGCCTGCACACATACAAATATATATATAGGATTCATTCCCAGCAGGTTGGGTGAGACCAAGGGTTTATGTATTTGTAATTTAGTGACTGATAAACTGCCCTCCGCGGAATATGTATAAGAACCCTCCCATACCCTCTTTGACAACTTAAGGCTTGTTGAGCTCCAGTTGATTACTTAATCCCAGCTTACCACCCAGGGAGGCTGCTATAATGTCAGCCAATCCCATGTCCCCTCAGAGAAGTATCAACCATGACCACTTCAGGACTGGCTGTTCTGGGGGTCAAGGTGGAGGGAATGAGGTCATCACAGGCCTGACTCCAGAGCTGTCTAGAACCATGCTGTTACTGTTGGTCCCACGTCTTCAGAGGAGAGGAGCTTTCCTGTCTGGATTCCCAAGCCTGGGCCCCAAACTGCTGGAGGAGCGGAAAGGAGGAACGATCAAGAGTAGGGTTTTGGTCCCAGACTGTTTGGTTCACAATCCGGCTGGGCTGTTTGGTAGCACGTTACTTCTCCTCTTTGGGCCGTCCTGCACTGTTGGTGGCAGTGGGGATGAAATGAACTAAGCAGATCCGAGATGTTTACATGGCAAAATCAACAGGACTTCTAACTCCACAGAGTGAGGAAGGGAAGAGGTCAAGAAGACTGATTTTCTGGCTTCCATGATAGGATGGTGAGTGGAAACAGTCCCTAGGAAAGGGATCAGGGGAGCAGAGACTGGTCTGGGTGGGAAATGAGTTTTGTTTGGGGTAGGCTGGGTTTGGGGAACTGCCCAGCAGCACACAGCAGTTGTTTGGGCCTAAAGCCCAAATCTCAGAAGCATCAGACTGATTTGGGAGTGAGCAGCACAAAGGTAGTGATGTGGATGACACCTTGGGAGGGCGTGGAGTATAAGGTGGGCTCTGGGACAAGACCCCAGGGACCCGAACATTTAGGAGGGGTGACGGGAGGTCAAGAAGTCTCTCAAGAGTTGGAAGGAACCCCACAGTGCAAGGGGATAGAGGTTTGCAAAGAGGTCGGAAGGCTTCACAACCATGGTGGTGGTGCCCAGGACAGTGGTTGCAGTGGGTTCTGTGAAGCAGTCAGGGCGGACAGAGGGTCTGTGGTGTGAGCGGTCACCAAGGGAATGGGCAGCACAAGCAATTCTCCCAAAAGCCTGAAGGAGAAAAGCAGCAGATAATGCTAGTTGCCTTCATCATCCACTTTCCAAGACTGTTCTCTCATACCTATCTCCACCACAGAGGTTATAAAGGTAAATACGACCTTTCTAAGCCCCATTGTTGTTAGGGTGGCCCCCCGACCAGCCTTGGCCAATGAGACTTTGGTGGGCATGTGCTGGAGGCTTCTGGGAATGCCTTTTCTTTGAAACATCATCAGAGGTAAGTGTTGGCCTGCCCCTTCCCCCTTCTTTTGGTCTTCATTGTAGATGCAATGACTGGAGCCACAGTAGTCTCCCCGGACCACACTGGAAAGGTTACGAGAATTGCGGAAAACATTGCCTATGACGCAGCTGGCCCATTGAAAAGACAGCCTTTGAACAGAGCCTAATTTAAGCCACGGTCAGCTGGGTGCTGACATCAAATTTGAACTCCACCACTTCCCAGCTTGGGCTGGTTACTTTTGCTCTCGTGACTACTACTGCTTGTCCTCTGCCTAATTTTGCCTATCTGTAAAATGGTACTAACTTTCAGAACCATGACTGTGGCACGGTCTGAGGATGCACCATTTAGCTATGCAAATGGAAGGGTATCTAAGGAGATAGAAGGTGGCGCAGGCTGAAGTATGAGGCCAGAGTTGCTGTGAAAAGTGAGAGCTGACACAGGAAACGACTTGAGGACAACCCCAAAGAAGTAAGTGCAGAGAAACGAACCTGGCCATCGACAGGGTCTTGCGGAACCTCTAGAGATGAACCACAAGCCTGGCTCTATCATCCTGGAAGCCAGCTCTGCTCTGATTGGATAGCTGATTGTGACACTCCCAACATCCAAAGAGCAAAACTGCACACAGGAAGTTCTGATGCTAATGAGTTCCAATGCTTGACCTTTCCAACATGGTTATTCCAATTGCTGTTTGGCAGGGTGCAGTGGCTCACACCGGTAATCCTAGCACTTTGGATGGCCAAGGCGGGAGGATCACTTAAGTCCAGGTGTTTGAAACTGGCCTAGGCAATGCAGTAAAACCTTATCTCTACACACAATTAAAAAATTTGCTCAGTGTGGTGGCGCACACCTGTAGTCCCAGCTACTGGGGCACTGAGGCAGGAGAATTACTTGAACCTGGGAGGTTTCAGGGAACCAGGTGACAGAGCAAGACTCACAACTCTATTAAAAAAAAAAGAGAGAGAAATTACAACCAAATGCACTTTGTAGATCTCGTTTAGATTATGATTACCACAAAACAAATAGAAAACAAAATTTATGAGGCAACCCAGAACACCTGAACACTAGATATTTAATGGTATCTGTTTAGATGTGATAATGACAATATAGTTCTACTTGAGATTCAACAAAACTAATTAGGCCAGGCACAGTGGCTCACGCCCATAATCCCAGCATTTTGGGAGACTAAGGCAGGCAGATCACTTCAGGTCATGAGTTTTGAGACCAGCCTGGCCAACAGGATGAAACCCTATCTCTTACTAAAAACACAAAAATTAGCCAGGCATGGCAGCGCACACCTGTAATCCCAGCTACTGAACCTGGGAGGTGGCGGTTCCAGTGAGCCAGGATTGCGCCACTTCACTCCAGCCTGGGCAACAGAGTGAGACTCAGTCTCAAAAGGAAAAAGAAAGAAATTAGAGTGAAATTAGCTTTTTTGTCTTTTTTTGCTTTACTGTAATGCCCAGTGGGGAAGAATGTTTTACAACCTCAGAACCACTGCCCTGCTTTGAACTCAGGCTCGGCAGTTTTACCCACAATTGATTTCACACCATCAGTGCACAGCAAAAATGCCAAATGGTTTTGTCTCAGTGGGCCAACATAGTTTTATATATATATATATATATATATATATATATATATATATATATATGTATCTAGGGCAGGAGGGCGGGGGAGGCAGGTGGGAGTACCAGCAATAATATATTACTCATGTTTGAAAATCTCCACAATAAACCCTTAAAGATTATTCAGAAAAATAAGTGGCCGGGCATGGTGGCTCATGCCTCTAATCCCAGCACTTTGGCAGGCCAAGGTGGGCAGATCACAAGGTCAGGAGTTCGAGACCAGCCTGATCAACATGGTGAAACCCCGTCTCTACTAAAAATACAAAAATTAGCCAGGCGTGGTGGCGCGCGCCTGTAGTCCCAGCTCACCGGGAGGCTGAGGCAGGAGAATCCCCTAAACCCGGGAGGTGGAGGTTGCAGTGAGCCAAGATTGCGCCACTGCACTCCAGCCTGGGTGACAGAGCAACACTTCATCTCAAAAAAAAAAACACAATGGAGACCCTGTTTCAAAAAAATAAAATAAATGGATAATCTTCCTTATTTCATACCAACTATGAATACTGTGAACAGTGAAGGGTATATTAAAAAGTACATCATGTATGTAGAAACTAGCTAATGACACCAGTTGTTAAAATCAAGCTTATATGATTGCTAGCGCAGCCTGATCAATCAATTTGAAGGCTGCTTTTTTTTCTGGTTTTGTTTTTGTTTTCTGAGATGCAGTCTTGCTCTGTCGTTCAGGCTGGAGTGCAATGGTGTAATCCTGGATCGCTGAAACCCCTGTTTCCTAGTTCAAGTGATTCTCGTGCCTCAGCTTCCCAAGTAGCTGGGATTACAGGCACCTGCCACAGCATCCAGCTAATTTTTTGTATTTTTAGTAGGGACAGGGGTTTCACCATCTTGGCCAGGCTGGTCTTGACCACATGATCCACCCATCTTAGCCTCCCAAAGTGCTGGGATTACAAGTGTGAGCTACCACGCCCAGCCAATTTTTGTATTTTTAGGGGCCAGTTTTAGATACAGGGTTTTACCATGTGAGCCGGGCTAGTTCCCAACTCCTGACCTCAAGTGATCCGCCCTCCTCAGCATCCTAGAGTGCTGGGATTACAGGTGTGAGCCACTACACCCGGCTTTAGGTTTTTAAAATGTCGGCTACGTTGCTGGGCTGAATTTATACCCCGGTCGATTCTCCATTTTGGCACTACTGACATATGGAGCTAGATAATCCTATAGTCCTGGGCACTATAGGATGTTGAGCAGCATTCCCAGTCTCTACCCACTACGTGACAGGGCACAGCAACCAAAAATGTCTTCAGATGTCACAGAATGTACCCTGGAGTCAAAAGCACCAGTCACAGCAACCAAAAATGTCTTTAGATGTCACCAAATGTACCAGAGGCAAAACACCACCGGCTAAGAACCTCTGGTTTGGCCGGGCATGGTGGCTCACACCTGTAACCCCAGCATTTTGGGAGGCCAAGATGGGCGGATCATGAGGTCAGGAGTTCGAGACCTGCCTGGGAAACATGGTGAAACCCCCATCTCTACTAAAAATACAAAAATCAGCCAGACCTGGTGACGTGCTTATAATCCCAGGTACTCGGGAGACTGAGGCAGGAAAATCACTTTAATCTGGGAGGCAGAGGTTGTGGTGAGCTGAGATAACACCACTGCATTCCTGTCTAGGTGACAGAACGAGACTCCATCTCAAAGAAAAAGAAAAGGAACCTGTGGCTCATAGCAATGCCAGATGTTTTCCAAGAGGAGGTGTAACGCTCCCTACAGGGAATGCTATGAAATGTCATGGGGGCTTGTCACCTAACTGGGTTGGGGATGTGGCTGAAAGGTGGGCAGGAGCCTGCTGCAAAGATGGTGAGGAACAGAACTGGCCCCTGTGGACCATATAAACAGATGTGGAATAACCAGTTTTCAGTGTATGAACTGAGAACCTAACTTGACTTCACATGTAAACACAAGCTAATTGCTGCATGCTTGAAATTTACCCATAATTTCCCAGGAATGCAATAGCATACTGTTTTGTTCAAAACTTTTCCAAGTTAGTCACTAATCTGAAAGTCACGTTCCACACAGGAAGGCCCCTCACAGTATTTGGATGGCCAACATCATACCCTCTACCAGTCCACAAGCAACAGGCTATTGTCCCAGGTCTCCCAGCAAAATTAGGCCCACACACAGTGACAAGGAGAAATACTGCACCAACTCAGTACACATTACTCTACAATTTACTCTACCATAAATTACTTTCATTTTAATGGTCCTTTACAAAATGGGGCCGCATATTGATTTTTTGACATTACACATGTGGGTACATTATATTACCTGTGAACTCGCTGTGGTGTAATGGACGTTATGTCACAAAATATGTTGGTAAAGAGGGCACTGAGTTTGATAGATTTGGGACCAACCAATCGCAGGTGCTTGGGACGCATCATTTCCTTAGAAAGTCAGAAGTCACCAATGACTACCCCCAGCCCCTCTCTTTCCATAAGTACACTAGTGGACTTACTACATTTTTGTACCTGTGGCTAAAAGTCATCAGCAAAATGTCTCTCCTATGTGGATTCTCTGATGTCAAACACCAGGGAAGCACCTACAGAAGGCTCTTCCACCCCAATAACGTGCACAGGGTTTTTCTCTTGCATGATTTTTTGGATGTCAAACAAAGCCAGGGCTCTGCTTTCCGGCTGCCCTGCCTTTGCTCCACCTGCAGAGGTCTTTCTGGAGTCTGAGTGCTGGTGCTGAACCAGGTGCGAGTTCCTGCTGGAGGACTGCTCCCGACGTCGGTTTCGCCCAGGGGGCTGCTCCTCCCTGGTGTGAGTTATCTGGTGCCGGATGAGGTGAGAGCTCTGAATGAAACACTTCCCACACTGGTTACACTTGAAGGGTCTGTCGCTCCGGTGAGTCCTGTCATCTTGCCTCAAAGGTGGGTCACAGCCCAGAGCTTCTGCCCACTCCTGCTTTGTTAGAGCTGCCGTCTGCTCAAAGGTCAGCCTCTGGCGGCACTCGAAGGGCTTCTCCCCAGCATGCTTCCGCTGGTGCTGGGCCAGGGATGAGCTGTGCCTGAAGCCCTTCCCACAGTGGTTGCACTCATAGGGCCTCTCCTCGGTGTGAGTTCTGAGGTGCAGGAAAAGGCAAGTGGTCCGAGAGAAGGATTTCCCACACACACTGCAGGTGTATGGCTTCTCCCCGGTGTGTGTCCTCTTGTGCCGACCCAGGGATGAGTTCTGGTTGAAGGCCCTCCCACAGTCCTGACACTCGTAAGGCTTCTCCCCAGTGTGAATCCTCCGATGGACGGTAAGGTGTGTGCTATGGCAGAAAGACTTCCCACATTCGGCGCACTTGTAGGGCTTGTCTCCCGTGTGGATTCGCTCATGCTGAACGAGGGAGGAGTTCTGGCTGAAAGCTTTCCCACACTCTTTGCACATGTAAGGTCTTTCTCCCGTATGAATCCTCTTGTGCACCGTGAGGTGTGCATTATGGTTAAATGACTTCCCACAGTCAGTACATTTGTAGGGTTTGTCCTGCACCTGGCTTTTTGTGAGTTCCATAACCGGAATGGCCTGACCGGAAGCTTTGTGACAGTCGCTGTTTTCGCTGGGCTGTTGTTCTGAGGAGCCTGTCTGCTGACTGACTAGGCTCGAATCATGTTCTGAGTCTGTAATCTGTGAGTCATAAGTATAGAAATATTCTCCTCTAGAGATCTCCGGGAATGGATTTGGGTTTGAACTCAGGGCACAGTTTTCCCCAAGTCTGAGAGTTTTGTAGCCTTCATCTTGAACTGGTGCTTCCTTGAGGCCAAATTCTAACGTCTTCAAGTTATTCTGGTCCTTGAGTGCTGAGCCCTGGCTCTGACACTCCCAGCCTTTCCGTAACGTGGTGGGACAAGGAGCAGCTCTCGGGAATCCCTCCATTCCTGTGACAGGGGAAGGCTCCTCTTCAGGAAGGCCCTGTTCCCTGTCTGATGCTTGGCCTTCAGATCGAGGCTCCCAGCCTGAAACAAAACCCAAAGATCTTTGAGCTGTTGGGAGATAAAAAAGAAGATGGGCAGGCGGCCTCCAACACCTTAGGCCTATGTTATTGAACTAGTACCCTAACTAGCTGCTCTGCTCTGGCAAGTCCCCTGATTCTCCTCTTATTTCAACATCAAGTGCCCTCAAACACGGCTTCATGCGTTCGACAAACATTTACTGAGCACCTGCTGTGGGCCACGCACTGGCGATGAAGCCAAGGTACATTAGTTCCCTGTTGACTGCTGTAATAACTGACCAAAACCTCTGTGCCTTAAAACACACATTTATCATCTTACAGTTCTGGAATGCAGACGTCCGAAAGTCAAGGTGTTGGCAGTACTGTTTCTCCTCGGGAGGTTCTAGAGGAAAACCCTTGCATCTTCCGGTCCCTAGAGGCCGCCTGCACTTGCGGCTTTCTTCCTTTCACCTCTAGAGCCAGCAGCACAGCATCCTCAACTCTCTCTCGCTGACCTCCGCTTCTGTGGCCACATTTACCTTTCTAATTCTGACCCTCTTGCTCACCCAGTGTCTGAGATAACCAGTTCTGGGGGTTAGGACAGGGACTCTGTCATAAGCCAGGCACCCCTGCTTTCTCCAAGCCCTCTCAAGCCCCCTCATCTGCTCTTGTCTTTACTACAACACAGGTCATGTGCTCATTCATTCAGTGTCCACCTCACCACAGTAGACTCTTCACAGTCAGTGCCTAAAATGACAGGTAGCAGAAGCTCAAATACATCTGTCTCAGTGAACGCTGAAGGAACTTATCGAGGGAGTGAATGAACAAGAGCTTGACAACAGGAGAGGTGCTGGAGGAATTGAGGCTGGCCAGGTGCCAGGCTCCCTGGTCTGTCACCTCTGGCCCCCAAATTTGAGTCTCTGGCTAGGAGTGGTGGCTCACACCTGTAATCCCGGAACTTTGAGAGGCCAAGGCGGGCGGATTGCTTGCGATCAGGAGTTCAAGACCAGCCTGGTCAATCCTTTCTCTACTAAAAATACAAAAATTAGGCATGGTGGTACATGTCTGTAGTCCCAGCTCCTCAGGGCGCTGAGGCACAAGAAATGCTTCAACACAGGAGGCAGAGATTGCAGTGAGCCAAGATCACACCACTGCACTCCCGCCTGGGCGACCAAGAGACTCTTTCTTGGAAAAAAAAAAAAAAATTGACTCTCTGCATAGCACCCAGAGGTTTCTTCTAAAATACAAGTAGTCCATACGAAAATGTATACACGAATGTTTATAGCAGCACTATTAATCGCTAAAAGTGGAAACAACCCAAATGCCCCTCCACAAATGGATAAACAAAATACAGTCTATCCATACAATGGATATTATTCAACCACAAAGAGAACAAAGTACTGACGTATGCTACAACGTGGATGAACCTGGAAAACGTCATGATGAGCTAGACAAGCCGGACACAAAGATCACAAATTATAAGGTTCCGTTCATACGGAACGTCTAGAACAGGCAAATCCAGAGAGACAGAAAGTAGATGACTGCTCGTCAGGGGACAGGAAAGATGAAGAGTGACTGCTCATGGGTGACTTGGGGTGACTGCTATGGACTGTTGATAGCAAAATTCCTATGTTGAAACCCTAATCCCCAATGTGAGGGTATTTGGAGGTGAGGCCTTTGGGAGGTGATTAGGTCACGAGGGTGGGGCCTTTAAGAATGACATTAGTGAGGCCGGGCGTGGTGGCTCACACCTGTAATCCAAGCACTTTGGAGGCCAAGGCAGGCAGATCACCTGAGGTGGGGAGTTCAAGACCAGCCTGACCAACATGGTGAAACCCCGTCTTAAAAAAAAAAAAAGAATGAGATTAGTGACCTTATAAGAAGAAATACCATAGGACTTGCTTCCTCTCTCTCTGCAATATGAGGACATAGTGAAAAGGCGGCCTTTTGCAATCGAGAAAAGAGCCCTTATCAGGCACCGAATCAGCCGGCACTGTGCTCTTAGAATTCCAGCCCACAGAACCATGAGAAATAAATGTCTGTCACATAAGACACCCAGGTGGTAGTATTTTGTCACGGTAGCCCAAGCTGACAAAGATGGTGATGAAATGTTCTGGAATTAGACAGTGAAGACAGACGCACACAATCTGTAAACCACTGAATGGTACACTTTAGTAGGTGAACTTATGGTATGTGAATTGTTCTCGATAAAGCTATTACGCAAAACCAAACAGACCACCCTCCTCCTCACTGCAGGCCAGCCCTGGTAACTCCTCCATTCACCCTGTAGTCACTTCTGGGGATGGACATGACCCTGTGCCCTTCTCCACCATGCCCTAGCTTGCCTCATCTCCTTACTCTTGCCCCAAGCCCACTCTGCTCCACATGGCTCCTTACATCCCTCCCATGCATCCGCCACACTCCTTCCTGGGGCCCTTTGCACCTGCTGCTCCTTCTGCCAAGAACCCCCATCCCGAGACATCTGCCCACCTTGCTCCCTTGTGCTCCAGCTTGTGTCACTTTCTCAGAGAGGCCTCCCTGCCAGTCCTGGGGCACGAGGGTCCCACCTCACCCTCCCCAGCTGCAGTTTCCTTCACAGCCTCCGCACTCCCTGGCACTGGCATCCATTTCTCAGACTTCCATCTCCCCGATGCCTGAGGGCTCAGCCATTCCTGTCCTTTTCTTTGCTGCATCCACAGCACAAGCAGCAGTACATGGCAGGTCCTCAGGAACATCTGTGGAACAGGCTTATGAGCCAGGAGACCGGCTGAGAGACCGAAACACAGTGACTCAACACAACACTGCTGACCCCGGCCGAGACTAACGCCGCCTACTGGAAGAGAGTGGAAGAACATCTGGAGGAGGGGGACTTGAGAACACTAGTCAACTGGCCTGGCCAGGAACAGCAAAGAGCACTGAGGTTGGGCCATGTTCCAGTTCCAGCCTGACTCCCGGGTGCCTCCACAACGACTCACTGATCCTGGCACTTGGGAAGCCACGGAGTCCCTGAGAGAGAAGGTGAGCAGTTGATGAGGAAAGGCAATGGGAAAAGAGCTAGGACTCAAAAAAAAAAAAAAAAGTAATTTGATCAAGACAGTTGCAGGTAGGAAAAAAAAGAGCTGGGACTGCAGGCAGCCAGAAGTGACATGCAGCAGGTAAAGCTGAGCAACCACAGGAGGGAACCAGTAAGGAATGATGCCAGATGAGTGACAGGGGCCAAGGAGGGGCTCAAGATTGCAAAGCCATCCCTGAGCCCACCAATGCCTGTGGGTGTATTGGGAGCGGGGATATGCCTGGACAGGGATTCTTTACCACTACTTTATTTTTGAGACAAGGTCTTTCTCTGTCACCCAGACTGGAGTGTAGTAACATGATGTCAGCTCGTTGCAACCTCCACTTCCTGGGCTCAGCCTCCCAAATAGCTGGGACCACAGGCATACACCACCACACCCAGCTAATTTTTTTGTATTTTTGTAGACATGCGGTTTTGCCAGGTTGCCCAGGCTAGTCTTGAACTCTTGGACTCAAGTGAACCACCCGCCTTGGCCTCACAAAGTTCTGGGATTACATGCCCGGCCTCTTTTCCTTTATTTTTTAATGCTCTGTCACTCAGTCTGGAGTGCAGTGGTGCAATCATAGCTCACTGTAGCCTCGAACTCCTGGGCTTTAGCAATCCTCCCACCTCAGCCTCCTATGTAGCTAGGACTACAGGCACGTGCCACAATGTTGGGTAACTTTAAAATTTTTTTTGTAGGGAAAGGGTCTTCTTCTATTGACTAGGCTTCTTTTCCTTAAAAATAATTTTAAAATGTACTCTCTCTTTTAATCATGTGGTATACTGAATAATGGCCCCTAAAAGATATCCCCAGCCTAATATTTGGGAACCTTATGCAACAAAAGGGATATTGTATCTGTGATTAAGTTAAGAATCTTGAAATGGGAGCTTATCCTGGGGCCCTAAATCTGACCAAAGGGCCCATATAGGAGGGAAGCAGAAGGGCATGAGTCAGGTAAGGGGCTGTGATAATGGAAGTGGGTCAGAGTGAAGCAGTCTGAAGATGAAGGGTCCATGAGCCAAGGAGTCTGGGCAGCCTCCAGTAGCTGAGAAAGACAGAAATGCATTCTCCCTGAGAGCTGCCAGAAGAACTACCCTGATGAACCATTTTGAACTTCTGACCTCCACAAATGTAAGAAAACAGTCTGTCTTTTTTTTTTTTGAGACAGAGTTTCACTCTTGTTACCCAGGCTGGAGTGCAATGGCACTATCTAGGCTCACCGCAACCTCCGCCTCCTGGGTTCAGGCAATTCTCCTGCCTCAGCCTCCTGAGTAGCTGGGATTACAGGCATGTACCACCCCGCCCAGTTAATTTTTTGTATTTTTAGTAGAGACGGGGTTTTACCATGTTGACCAGGATGGTCTCGATCTCTTGACCTCGTGATCCACCTGCCTCGGCCTCCCAAAGTGCTGGGGTTACAGGCGTGAGCCACCGCGCCCGGCCTGAGACAGAATCTTGATCTGTCATCCAGGCTGGAGTGCAGTAGTATGATCTTGGCTCATTGCAACCTCCACCTCCTGGGTTTAAGGGATTCGTATGCCTCAGCCTCCTGAGTAGCTAGGATTACAGGCATGCATCACCATGCCTAGCTAATTTTTGTATTTTTTGTAGCAACAGCATTGTGCCATATTGGCCAGGCTGGTCTCAAACTCCTGGCCTCAAGTGGTCTGTCAACTCTGGCCTCCCAAAGTGCTGGAATTAGCAGTGTGAGCCACCACGCCCAGTCAAAGCAGTGCTTTTTCAGGCACCCAGATTGCAGCGCTTTGTTGCAGGAGCAACAGAAAATTAAGACAAAGCATTACGTGGAAAATATATTTCTGTCTTAACATAAAACCTTGAACACCTTCTGCTTCTGCAGCATTCATCATTTTCTAGATACTAAGTTACTGAAACTGTCCATCATGATTTTGACCCCATATTGCTAATCTGTGCAAGCATGACATTCTGCTTAATATGCACGGGCACATGTTTTAGATCCTGGATTTGGTTATGGCATAAGATTTGTGAGTGACAGGCATATGTCCAGGGTGATAAGAATTTGCTTCTGACATACATGTTTGAAGTAACAGCAGTGACAACCAATAAAAGGGGCAGGAACAGAGTCTGCAGCAGATTCACCCCATTCCAGGTTGATGGGTCACACCCTATCAAGGAGGCACATGTTTTTCTGCAGAATCAGAAAGTCCTGGGTGGCATCAGAAGTATTTGGGTGGGAGGCTAATCTGCAGGCATTGCTGGTTGTACAACCATGGCCAGATCCTATTTGTTCTAGAATGTGGTCAGGGTACCAATGTACCCAGTAAAGGGATCATGACTTGCCCAAACCAATTATGACAATCTAGACACCCCCGCCCCAGCTTTCTAGCCTCCCTAGCAACCAGGGTCGGTGCAAGTGGAGGTGACCTAGTTCTGGCTAAAGAGACCCTAATAGGTGACATCTGGAGCTCTGTCAAAAGGGGACAGATGAGGCTGGCACCATTCTTCCTGCTTCTTCCCCTCCTTCCTGCATGGAGCATCTGTAATGGCTGAAGCTGCTGCAGCTGTGCTGTAATCCCCTAGGACAGCCTGGGAAAGTCACCTCTGAGATGCCAAGACAGTGCCAGCAGACTCAGGGCTCCTGTTTTGTGAGAAAAATCCTTCTCTTTTTTTTTTTTCTTTTGAGCTGCTCCAACCTGGTTTTAGGATATCTATAACTAAACATAAACCTTCTTATTATAAAGAAGGGTGTGGGAACAAGTTTACAGAATCTAGACACTCGGCCAGGTACAGTGTCGCACACCTGTAATCTCAGCACTTTCAGTGGCTGAGGCAGGAGGACTGCTAGAGGCTCAGGAGATTGAGACCCGCTTGGCAGTGTAGCAAGATCTCATCTCTACTAAAAGAAAAAAAAAAATCAAAGTTAGGCATAGTGGCTTATGCCTATAACCCCAGCACTTATGAGGTTAAGGGAGGAGGATTGCTTGAGCCCAGGAGTTAGTTTGAGCAGCCTGAAGCCTGTATAAGATGGCAAGACCCTGTCTCTACAAAACAAACAAAAACAGAAAGTAAAGTAATTTTTAAAAAAGAAAAAAAATTTTTTTAATTAGCTGGGCATGGTGGTACATACCTGTAATAACAGCTACTAGGGAGGCTGAGGTAGGTGGATTGCTTGAGCCTAGGAGACTGAGGTCATGCCACTGCACTCCAGCCTGTGCTACAGTGAGACTATTAAAAAAAAAAAAAGACGAAGAAGAAGAAGAAAAAGAGGCAGGTGCAGTGGCTAAAATCTGTAATCCCAGCACTATGAGAGGCCAAGGCAGGAGAATCACTTGAGCCCAGGGTTTGAGACTGGCCTAGGCAACACAGTGCAACTCTGTGCCTTTACAAAATAATAACAATAATAAACTAGCCAGGTGCGGTGGTACGCACCTATAGTCCCAGATATTCAAGAGGCTGAAGCAGGAGGATCATTTGTGCCAGGCAGGTTGAGGCTGCAGTGAGCCATGATCACACCACTGCACTCCAGCCTGTGCAACAGCGACTGTCTCCAAAAAAAAAAGCTGGGCACGGTGGCTCATGCCTGTAGTCCCAGCACTTTGGGAGGCCAAAGTAGGTAGACTGCTTGAGCCCAGGAGTTCAAACCCAGCCTTGGCAACATGGCGAAACCCTATCTCTACTAAAAATACAAAAATCAGCAGGGCGTGACGGTGTGCACCTGTAAGTCCCAGCTACTTGGGAGGCTAAAGAGGGAGGATCATTTGAACTAGGGAGGTCAAGGCTGCAGAGAGCCATGATAACACCACTGCATTCCAGCCTAGGCAACAGAGTGAGGCCCTGCCTTAAAAACAGAACAAAAAACACAAAGGATCTGGACATGGAAGAATGAAATGGAGAAGATAAGCGCGGGTTCACTTATCAGAAATGGTCCCACAGAAAGGGCATGCTGAGAAGGATGGTGAGAGAGGGAATGACCTGGAACCTAGAGAGAAGATGAAGCAGGGAGGGAGGAAGGGGTGGGATTCTGACCACTAGAGAAGAGGTGAAGGACCCCTGAGCTTAGAAGATGGGGAGCGGCCGGGCGTGGTGGCTCAAGCCTGTAATCCCAGCACTTTGGGAGGCCGAGGCGGGTGGATCACGAGGTCAACAGATCGAGACCATCTTGGTCAACATGGTGAAACCCCGTCTCTACTAAAATTACAAAAAATTAGCTGGGCACGGTGGTGCGTGCCTGTAATCCCAGCTGCTCGGGAGGCTGAGGCAGGAGAATTGCCTGAACCCAGGAGGCGGAGATTGCGGTGAGCCGAGATCGCGCCATTGCACTCCAGCCTGGGTAACAAGAGGGAAACTCCGTCTCAAAAAAAAAAAAAAAAAAAAAGAAGATGGGGAGCACAGGTGAGAAGGCTAGGGAGCACTGCACAGAAAAGATTTAACAGGGCAGGCCTGAGACCACCATTCTTAGGAGAGGCCCGTTTACAAGGCTGGCCCTTGGCTGCTACTGGGAATTTGGATTTGGGATAGTTCCCCTAACCCTAACTGATGAGAGTGGTTTACTGTACCCATACTGCACACACTATGTGGTTTATTCCAAACACTGGCTTTCTCCTGGTAGTCTGGAACCTTCGTCTGTGCTGACAATCCGTGTTTATATGACCAGCCTCAGTCAAAATTCCCGGCACTGAATATCTAACAAGTTTCCCTGGTAGAGTTCACGTCTCGTGAGGTGTCGCAACTGAGTGCTGGGCGAGCCTGGCACATCCCAATTGACTCCACAGTTAGGGAACTCTGGAGGCTCATGCCTGCCTTCCTCGGGACTTAGCCCCATGCACATTTCCCTTTCTTGGTCTCAGTATACTCAGAGCTGTCAGCATGACTCTATGTACTCCTAGTGAATGGGGTGCTCTTGAGGACCCCCAGCCACCACCCTTTCCATGAAGTGCATCTCCAGTGATCTGCTGGGCTGCTCCCATTAGTGCTCCCACATAGTGGGGTTCTCACCTGGATAGCAGCCCTGGGTGGTTCCTCTCTCTGTCACCCATGGCTCAGTCCCTTGCTCCAGGTGGGAGATGACATCAGGCTTCGGTAGCTCAGGACCTGGAAATGGGGAAAAACACAGGAGGTAGGGGTCTGCTCTAGACCAGACTCCTGACTGTGAAGACATGTGGGCACCTCACAACACGGTGAAGCTCTCATTGGCATGGGAAAGGGCAGATGTCCCTCTTCATGCATTCCCCATAGGGAGTGAGGACCCAAGATCACATCCTCACACCGAGGCCCCATGACTTATAACCCAGGAAAAATCAGTTAACACAGCTCACAAAGCAGGTCTTACCTATGGAGAGCAGGTGCCCAAAGGTCTCCAGCATCACATCACGGTAAAGGATCCTCTGGGTAGGGTCAAGCTGCCCCCATTCCTCCTGGGTAAAGTCCACAGCCACATCCCGGAATGTCACTGGTTCCTGAAACATCACACACATTCTCAGTCAGTTGGACTAGCTCCATCAGTGCTTTCAGACAGAAGAAGAAGGGAAAAGGAGAAAATAAGCAGGCCAGTGTCACGAGAGACTACAGGTTATGAATGATGGGAGTCGGTCTCACTGGGCACCTATTAGGCCACTACACATAAGTGTGTGTTGTATGGTGAGGACATGTGAGAGGACTCACCAAGATCAACACAGCCAAGCAGCGATGACCTACATCTGCTAAGACAGAGGAGTGTACCGGCAGAGACTGGGCCAAATCACTGATTTGAAGGTTTGTGACTAAAGAAACAGCTACTGTTTTAAGTAAAACAGACACTGTTTTAGGACAGTGTGTTACACAGCAGCAGCTAACTAAATACACTCACTAATCCTTAGATACAAAGTCAAATGCCTTCTTAGCTACTTGGGAAGCTAAGGCAGGAGAACTGCATGAGTCTGGGAGGCAGAGGATGCAGTAAGCTGAGATTGTACTACTGTACTCCAGTTAGGGTGACAGAGAGAGACTCCATCTCAAACAAAACAAAGCAAAACACAACTGTGAGGTTCACCACCCTTCCTGAAAAGAGGAGTTGGAGGGGTTGCTATCAGAAATTCACCTGTATTCAGGGTGAGACAGGCTCACAAGACAGAAGTGGGCCAGTTTAAGAGCCCACAAGGGCTGGGCGCGGTGGCTCAAGCCTGTAATCCCAGCATTTTGGGAGACTGAGGCGGGTGGATCATGAGGTCAAGAGATCGAGACCATCCTGGTCAACATGGTAAAACCCCGTCTCTACTAAAAATACAAAAAATTAGCTGGGCATGGTGGCGTGTGCCTGTAGTCCCAGCTACTCAGGAGGCTGAGGCAGGAGAATTGCCTGAACCCAGGAGGCGGAGGTTGCAGCGAGCCGAGATCACCCCATTGCACTCCAGCCTGGGTAACAAGAGTGAAACTCCGTCTCAAAAAACAAAACAAAACGAAAAAAAGAGCCCACAGGGGTAGTTACCCTGTGGGTGGTGGGACTGGGGGTGATAGGGAGTATGTACCCTGTCTGAAGGAGCAGCAGAACTGACTGATTATGGGAAAATACAGGGCCCTTAGTCAGAACCGCTAATTTCTGAAGAGAAGCTGAAAATTACGTCAGATTTTTAAGTAAAAATTTCTTTTTATTTTTGAGGTAGAGTCTCACTCTGTCGCCAAGGCTGGAGTGTAGTGGCGCAATCTTGGCTCACTGCAACCTCTACCTCCCGGGTTCAGGTGATTCTCCTGCCCCAGCCTCCCAAGTACCTGGGACTACAGGAACATGCCACCACACCTGGTTAATATTTGTATTTTTAGTAGACATGGGGTTTTACCGCGTTGGACCGACTGGTCTCAAACCCCTGGCCCCAAGTGATCCACCTGCTTCGGCCTCCCAAAGTGCTGGGATTACAGGCGTGAGCCACCGCACCTGGCCTCTATGTGAAAAATTCGAATTTTTGTAAGTTGATGCAACATTACCTAAAATGTGTCCCATAAACAAAGCCCTTCTGCAGCCATGCTTGAAAGCCAGGTATTTCTGGATCAGAGTCTTGGCTCAGTCACTTTGTCCTCAAGAAGCATTTTTGCCTCCCAGTTTCCATGTCAACAGAGCATCACCCCTTGGGGGCTGTATAATGATTAAGTGGTTTACAAACACTTCCTACAGGACATCTGGTTAGCCACATGGAAAAGAGTAAAGATAGTCCCTGTCGTAGTCTGTTTTCTGTTGCTATAACAGAATACCACTGACCAGGTAATTTATGGTTGTTGTTTTTTGTTTTTTTTCTCAAGATGGAGTCTCACTCTGTCCACCAGGCTGGAGTGCAGTGGTGTGATTTTGGCCCACTGCAACCTCTGCCTCTTGGATTCAGTTGATTCTCTTGCCTCACCCTCCTGAGTAGCTGGGACTACATGTGCACACCACCACATCTGGCTAATTTTTGTATTTTTAAATAGATACAGGGTTTCACCATGTTGGCCAGTCTGGTCTCAAACCCCTGGCCTCAAGTGATACACCCACCTCGGCCTCCCAAAGTGCTGGGATTACAGGCCTGAGCCACCGTGCCCGGCCCACAAGTGTCTTTATAAAAGGTATACAGAGGGAGATACGACTATAGAGGACACAAGGCAATATGGTCACTGAAGCAGCATGCTACACTGCTGGCTTTGAAGATGAGCAAAGGGCCATGAGGCAAGGAATGGAAGGTCTGTGGCTCTCATAGCTGGAAAAGGCAAGGAAACTGATTCTACCCTAGAACCTCAGTGGGAAGGGTAGCTCTGCTCACACCTTGATTCCAGCCCCGGTTTTTGACTTCTGACCTCCAGAACCGAAAGAACAAATGTTGTTTTAAGCTACAAAATTTGTAGTGAATTGTTACAGCAGATACTGATAACCAGATAAAACAATGGACCCTGAAGCTCTCCATTCTGGTCCTTGCCTGCTGTGATGGACAGCCTCCAAGACGCTCCCCCCAACCATCTTTGCCAATGATCTCCAGCCCTCGCGTAGTCCCCTCCAACACCGAGGGAGGATGACTTGTTTAACTAGTAAGACATTGCGGAAATGACAAGAGTGTGAATTCTGAATCCAGGTCATGAAAGGTGTTACGGTTTCTCCCTTGCCCTCTCCTGGATCACCTGTTCTGTGGGAAGGCAAATGCTATGTTGTAAGGATACCCAGCAGTTCCAAAGAGAGGCCTACATGCAGAACAACTGAGTTCTCCCATCAACAGACATGTGAGTGTGAGTGAGCCACCCTGGAGGTGGATCCTCCAGCCTCAGTTAAGTCTCAGGTGACAACAGCTATGCTGACATCTTCACTATAACTTCTTGAGTCTGGACCAGAACCACCAGCTAAGTCATTTCAGCACTCCTAACTGTCAGAACCTGTGAGATATTTATTGTTGTTTTCGGTCACAAAGTTTTGAGTTACATAGCAACAGGTAACTAACACACTTTCTCTGAAGCCTTTCTTATGCTCATTCTCCGTCCCCGTCCACAGCAAGAACAAACTAAAACGCGGAAGCATTTCAGGCAAATTTGGAGTGACACACATCTGAAAGCCTGCAATCTAAGATTATCAATAGTGTACCAAATCTGAAATAGTGCAACCCCCCATAAACAAACCAACGACAAAAAAAAAAAAAAAGTATATAATTTCAAAGTTGCAGAGATTGAGAAAGTATGAATTATTGCTGTTTCCCGCCACGCGAGGCGGCACTTTATGGAGAACACAGGCAGCAGTCACTTTGCCTAGAAGTGCTGGAGCTCTGATGGCCAGATAGCCCTGCTAACACTGACCGCCCTGTACTGCGGTTCTCCCACAGTCTCCCAGGGGACGACCCTGGTAGTCGTTCTCGTCACACTTAGTGCGTGGTGACCCATCGTTGTCCCCAAGCCCCAGGGCAAGGGCTCCGCGGTGCTGGGGTCCCGGTGGGGGTGCGCTGACTCCACGCGTTGAAGCATCCCTATTTGAGGATCCTTGCCACCTGGGCACCCGGCCAACGCTACAATTACTGTTATCCGTCAACACGAGGACAGTAAGGGTTTCGACGGGGCGGCGCCGAACGCGGGAACGGGACCTGCCGGATTCCCTCGGAAAAGACCGACCCCAGCCCTGGGGAGGACAAGGCCGCCGTGGAGCATGCGCATTCGGGGGCCCGGCGCCTGGTTGGAACCCGGGCCCCCTCTCTGACCAGCCAGGCCCTCACCACGCCCCGACCCGTGCCTCAGTTTCTCCACGTGTCAAAGGCATAACGGCGCTGCCGCCCTCATTGCGCCGCGACGTGAAAGAGTCAGTCTCCGAGGGAGACGCTTGCCCGGAGCCTGCGGCCGTCGTTACTGTTGTTATTGTTACCTGAAGCTGGGCCGCCGGCGGCCCCACAGACATCACCGCCGCTACCGCTTCGTCCTCGCGGTCCATCCTGGATCGACCAGTGTAGAATGGCGCCTGAGGTGATCCCCAGACCAGAGGGCCACTACAGCCAAAGGGACCACCCGACTCGCCGAACGCTGGACAATGGCGGCCTCACCGGCGACGCGGCGACTACAACTCCCGGTAGGCCGTGCAGCGAGCCGCAGCTCTCGGCCAATGGTAGCCTCCATCGGCCGGGCCTTCGACCAATGGAAGCATTCTGGCCGCTGGCCAATGGGGGCCTCCACCCGATGGCCTCTGGCCAATGGGAGCGCTTAGCTGGGGTTGATGGGAGATGTGGTGGCTCCCAACTGCGCTGCCCGCTAGGATGCGGGCAACCTGAAGCCTCAGTCGTGCGGCAGGGAGCGGGGGCGGTCTCCGAGAGATGGTGGCTCGTGGGGATGGCGATCGTCCGCCCCTCCTGATGCTGGGGCCTTGCCCGTACGCGTCCGCCGGGTCTGCACTTTCCGGGAAGTTGCACTGGAGGAAGCCCGGGGCTGTTCCCCAGTGCCTAAAACGCACACGCTTCAAAGTCACAGGAAAACTTAGGGGTTTGTTAATATCATATACGGCTGGAAGGAGGCTTGAGGCTGGGAGTGCTGGTCCTCTTAAATGAAAGGAGTCCCGATTCAGACCCCACGGGAGGGTTCTTGGATCTTGTGCAAGAAAGAATTCAGGGCGAGTTTGCAGTGCAAAGTAAAAGCAAGTTAATTAAGAAAGTAAAGTTGGTTCCTTCTGAAGGACAGTGTATGTTCCATCCCTTTCCTTAGCTTTTGCTAGCAATCTCTGGCATTCCTGGCTTGTATATCTCTTTGTCTTCACCTGGCATTTTCCCTGTGTGTGTGACAAGTTGTCTGTCTCCAAATTTCTGTTTTTATTAGGATAACAGTCACATTGGACCAGGGGTCACCCTAATAACCTCATTTTAACTCTTTAAAGACCCTGTCTCCAAATAAGGTCTGAGGTACTATGGGTTAGAAGTTAAACATATCAATTTTAGGGAGACACAGCTCAACCTATACATTAACATATGATGGGTTTATTTTGAAAAATTATCTTACCGGG